AATTTTTTAAAGGAAGCTTTGGGATTGTAGGAGCTGTCAGGATGGGATCTTTACCTTTTTTTTGTGATATTGTAAAGAAAAAACAATGAGTCAATGTTGATAAGAAAATTATCACTGTGCTAAAGGGAAATCTCTTTTCTTTAAAATGTCTCATATCGCTCCTCTTTAATCTGACATATTAGCTATTTCCCTCGTTATTTGACTCTTTTAAATCCATTTATGTCTCTTTATACTGGCTCCCATCTTCACTCGAGGCCTTTTCATTGCTGCTTTATCTCCATCTCGACCTGCAGCTTCCGACTGTTCGACGAGCAGAAGGACGTCCTGATCCTGGTGTTTCTGGAGGAGATTCCCAGACACCTGCTCTCTCCGTACCACCGCATGAGGAAGCTGCTCAAGAGGCAAACCTACCTGAGCTGGCCGCAAGCCGGAGAGCACGCCGAGCTGTTCTGGGAGAAACTCCAACAGGCGCTGAAGGCCAAAGAAGAACCGAGCGAGGACAGGTTCAACCTCACTCTGTTGGAAACACCTTGACGGGAAAGGAAATAGGAAACACAGTTGGTTTGGGAAGTTTATCTGAAGGATATCAGCCAGCAAGCATTTCAAATTGTATTAAAATTGACTGATTTTTATGGGAAATCAGGAGCAAGTTATGGTTAAACACTGACAGATGAACATTCAGTGTCTGACAAAAACAGTGTGAGAAGAAGAAGGACTGACATGAATAGTTTCAGCGACGCCACCACCAGTCTTTTATCACTGAGGATGTGTGTGTAGCAGGAGCATAAAAAAGACCATTTTCAGTGTTTAGAAACTTGCTAGAAACCCAATTTTTATGCACCAGTTTTGTTTCCTCTCTTGATTCTTGGCAAAACTTTCCACCGTCTTGTTAAAAGCTGTGATGAGATTCCTGCTAATTGCTAACTCAAGTCTCTGAGCGCTCGCTTCTTGACACGTGGAACATTCTTCATCAGACTTTCTGTATTTTTTTGTCTGCAGTTTAAAGGACTTCTGCTGTATTTTCCCATTTCTTGCGGCTCTATGAGCGGCGCCAACTTTGCACCTCCGTTGTGGAAATGTAACAGGGAGTCGTGCAGAGCAGTGAATATGAAGGCAAAAAGAGCATGCTGCCAGCAGCTTTTTTTGCATGAATCATTGTAAAATATCTGTTTTTGAATGTTATTAATGATCATTTTAATAACTGCAATGGGGATCTCCATCAGGGACGACTGACCTAATCATTGGCAGATTCATTTTTCTTGCAACTTGGAGGTGCAGAAAGTCAGCACCATCGATCCACAGTAACCACTTTAATGGTGGAAATAAAGCAGAATTAGGACACAATTCAATACGTGAACAGTGAACTCATCCTGGTACTCCTACTTGGACACCCATCGACAAAAAAATCTCACTGTTTGTACTGAATTTACATGTTTTTGTAACATATATCGTATCTTTAAGGAGTTTTATATACGTATATTTTCATCTTTTTTGTTTGCTTTGGTTTAAGATGCATCTTGGGCGATCTAACCACAAGAGGGCAGCAAAAAATATAAGTCATGATACAGATGCCTCACAAATGACTCCGTCCTGCCAGTCTCAACAGCTGGAATGACGTACAGTCATGACTCGATCCGACCCTTGACAATCAGAAAACCTTGCTATCCGACAGGTTTTTATGAAAACGAACGGAACCCTTTAAAAACAGCCTTAACATACTGACAGCCTTGGATTCTGACTCTGACATGACATTTTATGCCACAAATCAGGATATTATTATCTGACTGAACAATCCCACAGATTGGCTACGTTCACACTGCAGGACTTGATGCTACATTCAGATTTTTTTTGCGAGTTCATTCACATTTCCAGTTAAATGCGACTTGTATGTGATCTGCTGTGTGAATGTCATATGTCTCAAAAGTGTCCCACATGTGCAGAAGAGGACACGACGACGTCACACGCAGAGAGCGTGCTCAGTGTTTATGGAAGTAAACATGGATGATGGTGGCGGCGGCGGCGGCGATGGTGGAAACAGAAGTGTGACCGCTATCCTAGACTAGCATCAGCAGCCAAGTACTGCCTGTGCGTTCCGGACACTTCCACCCCGTCAGAGCACTTCCCCGACTGCGCCAAATACTCGGATATTCATCATTTATTGGGCCTGAATATCCAGAGACCAGAAAGTGCTATTCAGCCCTACTAGTTATTATAACAACTATGAACAATAACTAACAACAAATGAGCCTTCAAGCATCAAGCCCTCCTTGTATCTGGACCTCCGTCTTGACAATCCGACAGCCTTGCTATCTGACATAAAAGAAGGTTTTACATTTAGTGTCAGATTATCGAGTCATGACTGTACATGAATAACAAATCCAGCACTCCTTAAGAGACACACCGATTAGATAAATCTGCATGAGGCCCTTTGACCTTCTAGTGGAAGTGACTTGAGCGGTAAGAAAGTCTAAACACTGCTGGAAACACTGGAGACGCATGATAAACAAAGGTGTGAGCAGCGATGTGTCTCAGCTGGCCGTTTGTGTTTAGATCCCTAAGATGCATTTTGAAACAAGGTCTAGATTTTATTTCTGGTCCTTTGTTTGATTTAAACCTTTCTGAGCCGAGGAGTCAAACACTGTGCAGCCGAGCTTTGTTCAAACCCACAAAACTTTATTTTAAATTCCAAAAACTGGCAAAAGTGACACATTTGTTGGGTTACATTTGGGGGAAATTTTTATTTAATGATGAACAGTGTCACAAAAGCACTGATGCAGAATGAAGCAGGAGACCTGGAAACAGTGAGGAATGAATAAGCTGTTGAATGTGGAGGAAAAGGGAAGATTTATCTCCTTTGTCCAAAAGTTCACAAAAAAAAATGTATTTCTTGTAATTAATATTGTTTGTTTTTTTCTTTACTATGAAGTAAAATAAAATCTAAATGACACAATATGTCGTCGTTTGTCCAACGTGTGTGTTACCAAACATTGTTCTAATAAACTCATTAATAAACATTAATTTCTGACTCCATCTCTAAAAAAATAAAAAAATTAAAAGTTCGGCCTTGTTAACCGGCAAACCTTTTTTTTTAAAATAAAAATTAATTTTGCAATACTTTCCAAAAACATAGTTTTTCTTCTTGCTTTGCTCTTTGGAGCACCGAGGCAACAACCACAGCTTAGTCTGTATTCAGAATACTACACTTCCCTGTTTATAAAACAGAACAAATATAAGAGAAGGCCACCCAAAAATCACAAGACAGTTCAGTAATTTGAAGATCTGAGTGCAGAATGTGAAGAATTACTCCGGAACCGCGCCATTTTTTTAAAAACTGGGTTCCTGGATTCAGACAAGAGTTTATGCTGATGCAGCAGAAGTTCCCTCCTTTCTGCTCTGCGTGGTCGGCCTCCTCATGTCACTGCAAAGGAAAACGGGAATTTGGTTCAGTGAGCGGCTGAGAGGAATAAAAAAAAATGAATAAAATGCTCAGAAAACGGCACGTTTCTACTCACTCCACACACTTCATCCCTATCTGAGTCCACTTCAGTTTAGGGTCGGCGCACACGAACCTGCCCGGAGTGTGGAAGCTGTCGAATGAAAGAAAAGTGATCTCATGAATGGAAGCACTTAACTAAGCTCTCATCTGTCTCATGCCAGAGTGTTAGATTTAACATTAACCCTCTTTAATACACATTTACAGCAAACTTGTTCAAACCAGCCTCATGTAATTGATTTTAAGTCAAACTTCAACTTCTGGGGAAATTTGGACACGCAAGCTTTTATTGTGAAATGACTTCAAACTCAGTCGCTGAATATCTTCCAAACACACTTCATCCTTTTTTACTGCTGTTTGAGTTTTTGGGTGTATTTTGTCAGTAGTTGAGTTGTCTTTATTTGACTTTGTGTTTTTTTCCAGTCATTGTTCTGATTAGACATGTTTTCTTTTTTATTTAAGTAAAGCTGCGACAATTTGGGGTTTTTTTGTGCTCCTGTCACATTTTCACTTATTTTTAAGGCAATACAAAGTCCTGCACCTGCAAGGAATCAGCTCAACCATGCTTAACGAGGAGCGGGAACGAGAACTCACAACTAGGAATGAAGATGTGCAACATTTTTTCCAAGCGCCTACGGGTGTTTCCACTACCGGAGAATAAATGCTGACTCGACGATTCTAAATATTCAACTATTTCCACTGTTAAGTTGTTGACATATTCATCTCTGCTCTGTTCTGTCTAAACACTGCAGCTCAATCTAATTCAGCTGATATGTCACAGAGTACAATGGGTTTAATTTCAGCACGTTTTTTTTAATTAGATCCGTAAAATAAAGCGATTCGGACTAAATATCACAATTTTAAGCTGACATTTCAATGAAAAAAATCAATGAAGATGATTTTTTTTACAGTTTCTGGCTCGAGTGAAACCTGCAATTTCGGTAGTTTTTGTGAAGATAACATGACTTATAAAACTGTCAGCCAGTTTTGGGGCTCATATGGTTAATTCATGAGCTGATCAACAGCTTAGAATTTTGATAACAGATTTTTGGGCCATTTTTAAAGCTGGTATGTTTTTACCTTAACAAGTTGAGCCACTGCTAATCAACTCGCCCTGCCCTGTTCTGTCCTATCCTATCTTGTGTTTACCAACTTGTGGCTCGATTAGGCCACGTTCCTCACTGTCATTCAGCTTCCTGTTGCTACTTGGACTGACTCCAACTCCTCTATCTTGGCCTGCAGCTGGCAACAGTCAACTATTTCATCACTGGCGGACGTAAGCAATAACGTATGAACCAATTCTTGCCCCTTCAGCTTGCAGAAAATATCAGATCTACTGTCTTGACCAGCTACAGTCCAAGATGATGGAGTTGGAGTCCATCCACGAGACCTCACTGAAGAGGCAGCTGAATGACACCAGAACACCCACATATGGCAACATTTGCTGAATCCAGGTTCTTAAATGTGAGAAACAGATTTTTCTTGGTCTTCCGTGATAATAAATGGATATATTTTGCAGCTTTGAATTGATATTAAACCAGATGAGGCTCTGAAGTGGTAACTGTTTAGTTGTCTTCTAAAGATTCAGTGAGGAAACAAACTGATTGCAAAAAATAATCTGACTGGTTTTGTTGCTGAACTCACATGATGGCGTTGATGTCACAGGCACCGTTCATGGTCTGGATGGTGTAGCCAAGAAGACGTCTACAAGGCAGCGGACGCCTGGAGTACCTCAGGCAGCAGCTTGCTGCAAACACAAACACAAACTGTAAAGACCCCACAACAAACAGACTTTTTTTGTTTTAATATATGAATATAAAACTGTCTCAATAGCTCGGTTGTCCTGCAAAAAAAAACTCCTTTTACAGTGTTTTCAGGACATTGGACTGATGGACTCACCTGACTCTGCGGTGCCTGTGAAGCTGGTGAGGATGATAAATGAGCACAGAGCTGCGATAAGAAACGCTTTGCTGCCTGTCATGGTTCCTGGGTCGCTGCTGTCGCTCTGCAGGTCTGCGTTAGGGTGAAGCTGAGCTGGTGTACAGCGCCTGAAGCCGTTTCAGTGAGAATGTAACTGATCCAACGGCGCTTGTTCCTTAAGTAGGACGCCTCTGGGAATTTCCCCTGTTGGGTAGGACTGTGTAATACCACGTGGTATCGTGAAATCAGTGGACACACGCCAAGAAGTGAAATGAAGTGCACCTGCTGGCTTCCAGCCTGCGGGTGGGAAGGAAATAAAGCAGGAAATAAAAATATAAAACTGGCGAGGCTGTAAAGTTGATGTAAAAACTGAAAGTCTGAAGTGAAGTTATTACTATTACTCACTTTTATAATATGTCATCGCAGAGTTCAGGTTTAAGAAAATGTGGCTAGGACTTGACTTGAGGAAGGGAAAACCTCTCGTCTTGAACTTTAACGATTTTAATGTCCTGGTCTTTGGACCAGTGGTCACCTTAGTCCCCTGCAGCTGCCACATTTCCTGCAAAAACAGAACTCAGTGATCTACTGCTAACAGATGTTAGGAGTGTAGCTGAGAGAAGCAAAGTTAATTCAACTGGGTAAGAAGAGCCAGATGAGCAGAATTAGGGACACAAATAAGTAATGAAAACCAGATGATGATGATGTACGTGTTTAACGAGAATGATGTTACAAATGTAGAACAGCTAAACTAAGGTAAAGACAAAACAACCCACCCTGCTTTTGATTTTCTGCTGTAATGTGACGACACCTTAGGACTCAGGTTGTCGGACTGTTTTGGAAACCAGTGTCAGATGATGAACGTTTGTGTCGCCTATTGTTTCCCGCTTTCTAAAACTGACAATCTGACATTCGAGCCACTTCCTGCGTCGAGCTGCCGCTGCATATCTTATGTCAGCGCGCATTCTTCAATTGTTACCCAGCACTTCGGGGCAATTTTGTACAACAAAAACACCAATCAATGCAAATTGGGAAGTGTCACGTTAGAAAAAGCGAACAAACAAAAACGTTCTAACTCTTGTTTTCTTGAGGTGACTTTTTCAAAAATGAGCTGGCGTGCTTCATGGATGATGGAGAGGTTCTGACGTTCGGCTGTTTCCGCGTCTGATCTCCACAAAAACGTGACCATCTCACATCAAAGAAAAAACTTCTGCTAAAAAACTAACTCCACTTTGCTCTCGTAGATGGTTATTCATTCATTCTTCTGCAGCCATCCTGAACAAAAAAACCTCACCGTACACTCCCCGTCCAGCACCATGAGCAGGCAGACAAGTATTTATAGCTGGTGAATATTACCATCTATAAACCAAGTTGTCCTTCTGAGGAACTGGTGGAGACTAAAATTAATCTTAAAAGAGAGTAAACATTGGACTTTTACAGCCATGAATCTGTGCTAATGTTGCTCCTCATTGGATATGAACAGACACAGCCGCCCAAAAGGTGTGTGTAGATCAGCCTAACAGACAGGTTGGAGCCAAAACCAGGACAACCAGAGCCGAGGAAAATATTATAAATCAGCGATCACACCACCAGAGCTTTAAAGAGAACAAGCAGATAAGAGACACTCAAGGAGAGCCTGACTAACCAAATGGTTGATCTTTATTGCTCTACCCCTCCTCCTCTCTCTGCTCCGGACTTAAAGGAATGCGATCAACAGACAATGAGAAAAAAAGCCCCAGAGGATCTTAATGGGACGCTAATATCTGATATTAGTTTAAATATTATGGGACATCATATTCTGATAAATAGCCCAAAGCTTAATTACAGTTGGTCCTTCTTTAATTTATCAGCTTGTTATATAACCACTTCATAAGCATTGTATTATTTCTGTAACCGCACCAGATAACTAACTCATGTTTAGATTCCCTGTGAAGCTTTACATGTGACACATTCATTCCCAACAAGCTTAGCTTTGTATCAGTACAAATACAAATAGTTCTAAAGTAACATTGTTACTTTCAGAGCAAAACTCTGACCACCTCATGACCACCTCATGACCACTTCATGACCCCCCAGTGATACAGGGGCGTCATATCCATAGACTGTCTAAAAGATGGACGTAGCAACCGGCCCTGAAAAATGAAGCCAACCTGGAAGTGTCCAAAACCTGCAGCATCACTACGTCCACTAGCTGCTGGCTCCAGAAAGCCCTGGCTCCCATAGATTTGGATTGGAAAAGAAGTGATCACAGATCATGAAATACCGCATTCCTACAGCTCAGCATTTTTTTCTTATTAGTTTTCATGGTTAAGTCCAGAGATCAGGTGGCCAATCTGAAAATAAATCAATACTGAATTTTTACAAAATCGTCAAAATTTTGCGGGGCAAGGGGCGTGGCTGGCTTGATTGACAGGCGACGATGCAGACGAAGCGAGCAAAAGCCGGTAAATGTGGGTGGGCAGAGAGGGCCCGCCTCTCAATCCGTCTGACCAATCACTGCTCCTATGGCTCCGCCCCCCTCCGACGATTTTTGCGTCACTGGCTCCAAAAATCCAAGATGTCAACCAGGAAGTAGCAAAACCCTGGCTTCATTTTCTCAGTGCAGAAACCAACGGGTGACGTCACGGAAGCTACGTCCATCTTTTTTACAGTCTAACACCCCCCTCTGGGAGCGGAGCTCGTTGTGATTGGTCAGTAGTTTTACTATTAAAAAGCATTTCACCCAAAGACTGCAGATTTTCTGAAGGCCATAGAATCTCCCACTTTGGTCCAATGTTAGCAACTTCACACCCTGCCACACCCTGATCCAACTCCAGCTGAAGGCCTCGTCTCCCAACTCCAGACGCTGCTGCACCCGCCAAGGAAACTGCAAGTATCGAGCTCCTGTCTCTAAACGGGTGTTTCATGATTACAATTTCGACCAATATTCCAAATTTAACAGATTATCTGCTGCTTCAGGTGAAAAGACGTTTAAGTCTCCAGGCCACCATTCTGCTCCACATTAGGTTTTCCACACTCATATTCTCAACCAGCATTTTCATCATTGTTTGTATTTTATATTTGTTGTTGCTATTTGTTTGTTTTAGTTAGTAATAAATGTTGTGTGTGTGTATACGGTTGTTTCCTGTGTTATCTATAGCTTACTTTCAGTCACTCCGATCTTTAGTTACCTTAAGCTCTAAGTTAATTCCCTTAACTTTATAAAACACTCTTGACTGATCACCAAGAGTTAAACTATTTATTAGAATTATTGTGCTGACTCTGAGATTATATCGCTGGACGAATAATTCAAAGGTTGGTTTTAATCATTTTAATTAATGCAATCACTTGCTTTGCTGTGGAAATAAGTATATCTTATTTTCTACCCTACAATTCTGAAGCAAGATAAGAGCGAGTGAGATAAACGTTTCTATATTTAGAAAACAAAAACTGATTGGATTCATCTGTAAATGATCAAATGCAAGAGCACATCATGAAACCTCCCTTGAATCACAACTGGAAGTAAAAAAAAAGCCCCCCAGCTGGAGTGCAGCTTCCGTTATATGTCCATGAACAAGTTATTAAGTAACTGATTGCTTGCAGCAATGGAATTTCATCAGCGTGTGACCAGGCGTGGGGGTTTTGTGATGCAGAAATGTACACTACACAAGAGAGATAAAGTGATATCTGAGGAGAACAGAGTCGAATAAGTTTAACTTGACACTGATATGACCTTAAATCTAGAGAAACCACCTGTGCAGCACGTGTGAAAATGACCAAGAGTTGCTCAGAATTCGCTGGTGTTTATCTTTGACGCACATAGTTTAGATATCAATGTGTGACTAACGATTGGTGAGGACGATGCAGAAAGTCCCTCGGCTCACTCATCGGCTCGGTCCACTCCCATTAGTTTGTCCTTGCCGCTGCATAAAGCGGCGTTCTGCTTTGCTACTTTAGGAATTTTGTGATGTTTGTTTTTCTTTTTGAACTCCTGCCGCCCTGAATGTCCCTGAACAGGATGTTCACATCTTTATCTGTTTTAAAAATGCAACCAAAACCCTTTGTGTGAGGTTGCAGAGCAGGTGATAAGGATAAAAACACTTACTGTGTTACAGTTGTGATGATCCGAGTTTTGCGCTTTTATCATGACACTCTGTTCAGTGTATGTTTCTGTGGTTTTTGGTCTGGAGAGGTCTCACTCTCTCTCTCCCACACCTGAGGCTCATCTATCATCAGCGCTGGGTAACGCTTGCCTCCACCTGTGCTCCAGCGCCAGTGGATTATCCTCCCACGAGTGGTAACAGGCCAGCTTGACTGCTTAGAAGACATGTGTTCAGAGAAGCTCGCTATGTTTGATTTGTGCCTTTGTCTGCGTTTAGCTACCAGAACCTCCCCGACGGACCCACGGATTCCCCGGCCCAGCCTCTGCAGCCGAGCTCCTGCCTCAGCCGATCAGCCATCCTGTCCCTCTTGGAACCTCCCCTCGGCTTCCCCCACGTGCTTCCCGGTGTCCTCTGTACCTTGTTTCCTGAATAAATCCCTCTTTCCTAACACCCAGTCCCTCTGTTGCTTTTTTGGATCCCTTTCCTGCAAAATCCTGACAAAAATTTCCAGGACGCGCTGACTTATACAAACATGTTCACTTTTTAAATGTGCGAGACATAAATTTAGAACTTTTGGCAAACGGATCTTGAAATCAGGCAACAATTCGATGGCCCTGAAGGCTCCAGGTCGACTGTGTGTATCACTATCTGCACAATAAATGCTTCCTATAAACCTGACGGAAGCAACTCCGCCTAAACAAGCAATTGAAATTACCTGTGTTGAGCTGAAGTTTGTTATCACACTGTTAGAAGGCGGCTGCATTTTAATCAAAGACCTGTGACGCACTGTCCTGACTTTCAGATAAATAAAAAGCTTTAAAAAAAAAGCACTTAAATGGTTTTATTGCAGCGCGACGAGTTTTGTTTGTGACACAATCACAGTAGCTTGGCTGATAAACGACAGAACGAGGAGACAATCTGCAGACGTCCACAGTGTTGGTGGAAGAGATAACAGCGAGTCAGCCTTTTTTTCTGAGCTCATTTAAACCTTTAGCGTTGTTTATAATTTTACGCACCGGGGTTGGAATGCAATTAAAGAGTCATCAGCGGCTGCATGCTTGGATAAAACAGCAAAAAAAAAAAAAAACATAAAGCCTAATTATAAGCATAAAGAGAAGCAAAACAACTGCAAAGAGACATAAGACAATAACACAGAGACACAAAAATGATCACAAAGAGAGCAAGAACAGCTACAAAGAGACACACAAAGAGATGCAGACAATTACATGGACACAAAACGACAGAAAACAGCCACAAAGAGGCACAAAATGACCAAATAGGAACACAACGACAACAAGGAGACACAAAACAGCCACAAAGAGACACAAAAGGATCACAAAGAGAACAAGAACAGCTACAAAGATACGCAAAGTGACAACTAAGAGATACAAGCAACTACAAAAATACAAAATGACCAAACAGGCACACAATAAGAAGAAAACACAAAGTAAGAAAGAAATATAAAAACCCTACAAAGACAGAAAATGACAACAAAGAGACACAAAACAACGACAAGTAAATCCTATAAAGAGACGTGCGGAGCAAATGAGCACCAAAAGACTTAAAATGGCCATAACAACACCAAAAAAACCCACAAACTGACACAAGTCAACAACAGAGACACAAAATAACCACAATGACACACACAAAAAAAACACAAAGATACCTGCCAAGACTCACAATGATCACAAACAACTGCAAAGATGCACAAGTTTACTACAGATATACAAAATGACCACGAAGAGACACAAACCGACCACAGACAGACACACAAAACAACTAAAAAGATGCATAATGGCTACAAGGAAATAGGAAATGACCACAAAAACATGAGACTAAACAAATCAGGTCTAAGCTTGGCGAGCTCTGTGGAAATCCACTGATGTCTCTGACGTAAAAGTGAAACTGAGCAGTGAGGTTTATATGCAGCCAAAGAACACAGCAGGTGTCCATAAAATGTTTGAGCAGCAGATTCAAAAACTATTTAGATCAACTGGCCATGTTTATTAAACTAAACCGTTTCTTTCTCGCATGACAAATATCAAAACTGGACTTGTATACATACACTTGAGAGACAGATTATATATGAAGAGATCATTTGCAACAACAGATAACTCCATTTTTTTGTTGTTTGCTTGAGTTGATAGCAATAAAACTGAAGTTGAGTGGATGTGACTCAGTAGAAATGACAGGACAAACGTAGATAACTTAAGTTTGATTGGTATTGTCTCAGGTAGACGATGGGAAAATGGGTTTTCTGAAGGTTTGTGAAGATGGAGTTATCTGTTTTTTTTTTTTAATTAACTCTTCATATGTGGAGAGAGTTTAATTTTCAGTCAAATGACTTAAACTCTCAGGCTCAAAAGGGGTTTAAAGTTGAATTATCTGCTCATTTAAGTCATAACAGTCGATATTTTGGACATGTTCTGTATCATTAGACTTCAGCGTGTGGAGGTCAGAACTAGAATTTAAGCTGAAAATGTGACTACAACAAAACTGTTCATGTTTGCATGCAGTGAATGAAAGTGCAGAGCACATCGCAACCTGCTGCTCTTATCTAAACTGTGCCGACTCTGAACATTCACGCCTATTTAAACGTAATCCTGAGGAGCTAAAAATAGCCCGAGCTAAAAATAGTAACCGATGATGAAATGGGGAAGCCATGCATGTCAGCGTTTGTTTACAACAGCGGAGTGCCACTTCCTCGTTGGTGATGAAACTTTATGACGAGAGACACAATAGAGATTACAGCACTGTGAAGTGCAGGTGTTAAACATAAGCACCTGCTGACCTTTTGGCTCCGGGTTTATTGGTATTTTTACGTGTTCGAGCCTTCTGGAGGTTTACGTTAACGGATCGAGAAAATCAGCTCGTTTTCGAAAAAGAATCCAATAATAGTGGCAGTGACCTTATCGTTTGTTGGCAAGAGTAACGGCACTTACTATCTTGATCAGGAAGGAATGTTTTACGTTGTTGGCCGCTCCTGTCAAAGTACACGCACTTAATGTTTAACTAATTACAAAAGGCTGCAAATAAGACATTGTTGCATGAACAATGGCTCAAATACCTTCTAACATTGTGCTCAGCGCTACTCCCTTAGCACTCACTAAAGATAAAAAGCTAAAATTAATGGTTGCTAATACATTTATGTTGTTACTGAAATGATTTCAGGCCCATAAAACACCTTTGTGCTCTCAAAAACAAGCATATCTAAGAAGCTACAAGGTCCTCGTTGCTTCAATAACAATCAGTCTGTCCTTGTCTTTTATGCTGACAATGTCTTTGGATGAATAGGTTTTGTATTTGTGCTGATTTTAATCATTTTTACATGCATGACATATAGTTTATTGCTTTGCATAATCTTTCAGCTTCAGTTGTGCAGGTTTTAGGGATACAAAACCTTTGAATATATTCCAAAATGGACATTACAGAAAACATTAGTTCCTGGAGTACCTTTTTGATTTCTTTTAGCTCATTGTTTTGGTTTTTCGACATTCGATTTTTGCTTGTTGGCCTCTTTTTTGGTGGAAGCAGTGAAAAGAAGATCTGTTCAACTCCAAACCTACTGAACGTTGGAGGTTGGAGATCCCAAAACGTCTAAAGACACCTACCTATTCTAATTAGCTAGAATGCTGCAGCCATAAATAAGCACGCATGGTAGCTTTAATAAAGAGTAAAACTTCAGCTATAAGTGAACTCAACATCAAACAAACTATACAACCTGAAGCTTTACAAGAACAGAAAACTGGAGCACCAGGTTCAGTTTATCACAGGTAAAGAGAGGCCTTGACGTAAGACCTGTAATCTCGACTTGTCTTATCTGTGAATCACAGTGTGCGCCAAGATTGGAAAGAATGAACTTTAGTCTTGATCACGTGTTTTGTTATGCAGAGCTCACACAGATCAGAATAGCTGGACACAAGTGCTCGACACAGACGGGGTTCAGGCAGAAAGCAGGTTTATTACCGGTCAGGGTTCGGTACAACAGTCAATCGGGCAAAGGTATCAAAAACGAGAGGCAAGAGGCAAGGTCCAAAAACAGAAGCGAGGTCTTAACAAACAGACTGTGGCTGTGAAGAGCGCTGGTATGAAGACCGTGAAAGTGCGACGAACTGCCGACCAGACTGTGAGACACACAAGGTTATATACATGAGGTAATGAGGGGAGATGGGAAACAGGTGAGGGGACGCCATCAGGGAGCAGGTGTGACGAGACAGGAGCAGGAAGTAAAGCCAAGACAGAGACAACCGGTTAGTGTTTACAAAACAAAACAGAAAAGACATCAAATGTGCAGACAAAGCAGAAACTTGACAGACATGACAACATAATTAAGTTGAGCTGTGAAGGAAGTAAGCTACGACGGGTTTCATTGGGATCTGATTGCATCTAAACAAAATGTGTTTAACCTGCTCGGTTCAGGTAGAAACACAGACCAGATCGCATCTCTGCAGTGTATAATAAAGCCGTGAGGTTGCGAAACAAGGTAACTAAATAACATGCAGAAGACAAAAGCGATGCTCGGCCCTCCCTCTGAATCCCCCTGGCTCTGCTGTCAAATATTCATCCCAACTTCACCTTTGCGCCCATTCCCTCGAGTCCTCAGCTCTGGTGAAATGAAGCTGCTTTTTAATCTTACGCTGGCTCTTCTTTGGTTGTCAATCACGGCGACAAGAAAACAGGCTCAGGCAGGAGGTAAGCTGTTGTTTACAAATCAGCAGAGACTGAGGTATGCCATGTAAATTCTTTTGTTACCGCTGTCTGCTGTGCAAATATCTGCTCCTACGTGTCGGTGCAATATGATAGTAATGGATCTGCAGGAGACTTTACTATTGCGAGGAACATTTTACACTAAACTTGCACGTTGCATCGCTTCAATGAAGAGAAAAAGTACGAGTGGACTGAGCAACAAACAAATAACTGATACCCACAAACGCAGAAAAGGTTGCAAAAGCTTGGAGGCATTTTCTCAATTTTCCAACCAAGTGCATGACTTTCCACTTGGTTTGGATGTCATTTTAACTTAACTACCATAAATTTGTTTGTGTTTCTTTGTTCAAAGCTGCACAAAAATATAGATTAAATGGCTAGAAGTAATGTAAAAGATGTTGAGAGAGTTGTTATTTGACTCCCCTTCGCTCTATGAGTTCTGATTGTGTTGGTTTTCGGCCCTGAAACATTATTCGGTGCGCTCCTTTTCCTTCTACCTGGGGCCTAAGTTAGCAAAAAGTGGTGATGATCAACAAAGAAATGATGCTGGCTGCTCTGTTGTATAGTATTCACACATTTATTCACTGGTTCAGTGTGGCATCGCTGCTTGGCATCAAGTTGAACCATGTTGTGTTTGCCATGTGGTCGAGGTACATGAACCGAGGCATCTGACGTATGTGCGAGCAGACTTCTCTTAATAGCTGCACCAGTGTGGTAATGGTGGAAACCAACATTTATCGTTCCCTTTGGCAAACAGCCTCTAATAAATCCACAGCCCCTGCTCTGTAAAGAAAAAAACCATTGAAGGTTTGGTGGTAAAACAGAAAAAATACTTAAGAAATGGTGGCATGCTGGAACGTTCTATACATCATAAATAGAAATGATGTCCGATATTGAAATGTTCGATGTCATTTCAGCCCATGAGTGCCTGCTTGTGTCTGTGCAGGGCGTCGAGGCTGCTGTGCATCTTACTCCAAAGTCCGTGCTGTGAGCTCCATCCTAAAAAGAGGAGGGCCGGTGCAGTGCTGGAAGCAGGAGATCACAGAACTCTGTAACATCAACGCAGTGTAAGATCATGCTTCTTGTTTTGTCCTCCGCTGTCTTGTCTTTAATAGATAGCGTGAGTCTTTGGACTTCTCTGGTGTTTTCCTTTCATGCCCCATTGCTTCCTGTCAGGATGACCCACTTCCCGGGTTTTTTTGTTTGTTTGTTTTTTTCCAATTTCCCGTCATCACGTCCTACTTTCAAGGGCAATTCTCGTAATTTCTTTTGAAAATGACTTATTGGGCAACAAGGCGGACTCATATGATAAATCGCGATAACATCTAATGACTGAACTGAAACTCAGAAAGAGCATTCTTCCCAGGACAAAAGACGGAACTTTTATTTTTGCATATGGGATTTCTCATTACCGGTATCAACAAAGGTGTGGGTATCAGTAACTGAAATATGACCAGCTGTAATTTCAGTTTCAGATATCTACAGGGGCTGCAGGGTGGCGCAGTAGGTTAGCACTGTTGCCTCGCAGCAAGAAGGTCGCCGGTTCACGTCCCGGTGGGGGCACCAGAATCAGCATGGGTTCTCTCCGGGTTCTCCGGCTTTACTGTCCAAAAACATGTTGAGGTTAATTGGTGATTCTAAATTGTCTGTAGGTGTGAATGTGAGTGTGCTTGATTGTCTGTCTCTAAGTGTAGCCCTGTGATAGACTGGCTTCACCCTGAGTCAGCTGGGATAGACTCCAGCCCCCCATGACCTTAGTGAGGATTAAGCGGTGTATAGATGATGGATGGATATCTACAGTTTAACTTTGACTAGTCATAATTCCAGTTCAAGATGTCTTCTACTTCTTTTCAATTAAACACATCGCCATTGTCCCTCGCAGACACCTTATATTGAGTTAGAACTAGTGAGAACGCTGCAGCTATCTTGAACTAGAACAAAATGACTCAAACTGTAATTACAGATTGCTTTGCTGGTATTAAGAAATCTGAAGAAGGCTGAAGTTCCAGCAGATTTCAACCACAAGTCTCTCAAGAGTGAGGCTCTCTGCCTCTACAAAATCCTTGCCAATGAGCTCTTCTGATTTTACAGCATTTTCTGTCAATCTTATTCACCGCAACAACTGTCATTACCTCAGCTAATATTGTTCCAATGCTTTACTGGCATTGGCAAGCCTTGCATGAATCATGACGGTCATGATGTCAAAGCTGAATGAGTAATATCTTAACTGTCAGAATGATGTTCTAGATATCGTAGATAAAAATTCTAACTGATCACAGTGTAAATGGAAATCATGTTGTTTAATTCCAGATGGTCAAACTCAGCTGTTAAATGTTAGAAGAAAAAAAAAGCTCAAAACAGCTTTCTCTTGATTCTCTTTCTCAAGTGTACTCAAGTGGAAACACCAGCAAATATGCGTGGATCCAAACCATCGCAGGACACGGAGCCTTCTTGCAAGTTTATGGTAACGTGGACGCAAACACACCCAGTCTGTTTAAAACTCTCGGTGTCACGACTCCGAGGCACCAAACTAAAACTTAATACAGAATTTTCTTCGTCATAGATCATACTTAGGAAGATTAACAAGCTTACACAAACAAAGCACAGCCCATTGTCTGCTGTTTGTTTTTCTTGGCTTTGATACGGGAGTACCCAGACAGACGTGGAATTAAAAACTACTTTTTCTTTCTATCCAACAGCAACAGAAAACTTCAGAATGGAAGAAGAAAGCTCAGGCGCCTACAAATAAGGAAACCCGACATCCAAACATACTGACAACCATCGTTTGTCACAGTTAATACATGTTAAGAGTCATTCTCTCCTGGAAACAGACTCTCAAAGCACGAACAGCTCATTATTTGTAAACGGGAAACCTGTGATTAATTTAAAGGTTGGTACAAAACCTATTCTTTGGCAGGATATTTTATCTTTAATGAGTAATTGTAGTCCCATATTTACTTTTCAGCTTCGGCTCAGTTTGTAAAATGCCTGTAAATACCAGCAGCTGCCTTCAGTGTCAATTGCTGCTTGCTGCAGCTACTTCAGCTCCACTATTTACATCACAGGTGTGGGACAAAGAGACATGGACTGTAACACAATAGGCTTTGGCAAAACTATTTACCCTTCAAGATTTATGTGCCTTCGGGCAACATGGCATAATGTTGGAGATATCATTAGCAAGAGTCTTATGAGCTGATTGAAAGATATCTCTGAAGATAAAGGAACATCTCTGGTACTACAAGAGCCAATAACACTGCGGCTGTAAAGCAGAATTTCAGTAACTTAATCCCCTATTGCGCAAATGCATGCCACAGGCCTGACAATGACACGTGTTGCTGCCAACTGGGGAAGTTGATAAGTTAACAGTGCAGCGCAAGAAGTAGCAAAAGTGGGGAAATAACGAAGAGGAAAGGGAGTAAGTTGGTGAAAACGATAAAGATTTATTGTGTTGAAAATACCTTTGCTTTTGCTGGCCTTCTCGCTAAGAGTTTCACGAGAGTCAATATCACTCTCATATCTGTCCGATACATTTAAGGCTTAGCACAGTGATTAACAGTAGAGGAGTACCTGGACGAATGGGGAAATAGCAACGCCAGGCTCTGCCAACATGTAATATAATCCAGCTCATTACCTTATTGGTGATTATGGCAATTTTTAATATAATGTCTTGTTCATTTTTTTTTCGACATCTATTATCACACTGGCATGTGAAACAACCCACTTAAACAACTACTTCATATGCCACTGGAATGCTAGACTGGCAAAGTTTATCCAAGTTTAATTTAATACAAATGGCTGGATGTCATGAAGCATCACGGAAGACTGGTGCCTCCTTACGAACTGAACTCTCCATCCTGCTTGCCAATATGGATCTGTCCACCTTGTCTGGTCACTACAGTACAAAACGAATGGTATCAGCAGATAGTTAATGTTTAAATGACTCAGATTGGATCTGGGGGACAAACAACTTGATTGGGCCAGCCCTAATTCTAATAGGATTGGTTTAAGATAAACATAAACTAAGATGCAAAAATAGTGGTAGTGGGCTATTTGGTGTTCTTGGCCAAGACACAGCAACAATTATTTACACATTTTAACACAGTTAATATCTGGACAAACATAATCTGTGAGTTTTAGCAGTGCTGATGGATGGATTGTGTTACCATCAGACAGCCAGTTTAGCTGTTTTCCATCGGTTCTGATCCTTTTGCTTTTGAGCTATGTGTCTCAAATGTGTGTGGTTTTATTGAAAATGTATAGGTTTACATTTTAAGTATCTTACTTCTCATAATCAAATACAAAAAGTCTTATATTTTCTTTTATTCTCATTATTTCTGTTAGTTTTTGTTCTAAACTGAATGAAAGGTTTCCTTGTATGTTTATCAGAGTGTCTTCATCGAGGGGGTTTGCCACTAACTTCAAACACTCCCGTTTGGTGTCGCCGAGCACGTACAAACACGGAAGAACACTTTCAGACAGTTCAGCCAAGTGAAACAATAAAAAAAAATATGCACACGGGCAGTTAAGGTTCTTTCCAAACACTTGTGGGTCAGTTAATTTCCTTAAATACAATTCCTGAATCTCAAAATGGTCTTCCAACAACAGCAGGCACAGAAAGAAAACTACTCGACAGCACAGCAAAAGCTCGGACCTCTCTGTACGGTTTCCGTGTTCCTTTGGTATGGTGTAGTAAACCTGTCGGTTGGGTAAATGTGGGCAATGCTGCATGAAGTCACTGGAGGTAATGAATCAAAGTCTGCCTTTCAACGCCAGCTAATAAAGATTGCCAAGTTTCCAAGAGATGCGTGAAAGTAGTGGCATCATACAGGGTGTTCATTTTGTCGAAATTCAACGAACAAGGAGTGGTTCGTGGGTCAGGAAGTGTTCTTAACTTGTACAAAAACACAAGATTTCATTTCAGTTTTAAGATTTGTTTCACCTAAATCACAGAAAAGTCGGTCGAAGTGGTATGTTGAAAATATCAGTAGAGAAAAGGAGAGAGAAAATATATCAAAAGCAAGGTACTGCTTAGATTAAACTGTCCATTGTGTGGCTTAACTCTTAAAAAGATAGATTGTGCCTTCTGAGCTGAGCTTCTGGGGTTTTGCATGTCTGCTCAGTTCATCAATCAGGGAGGATCACAAGTGTCTATTAAAAGTGAAACAAGGGCTGCATCAGCTATCCTTCAAAGGAATTCCTTGCCTGGACTAGTTTGTTGGCTTTGCATATAAAATGTTTCCTTCCCACTGAACACCCACTCGAAACACGCCAGCAACAGCTTGAAATGAAGCCAACCATGCAACAACGACAAAAAGGTCGAGATTATTTCCTTATTCCTTGCTTAATCTCCAGGAGTGGTTGGTTTAGCGAGATTATACTTTCATGTACATGACCTTCAGTCACGTACAAGTTAGTTGCGAAGGACATCTCGCTAATTTTGTAGAAAACTTAATGCATTAGCTACACCTACTTTATCCTGGAGGGGTTGGAGCCAATCCAAGCTGGCGTTGGGTTACCCCCTGGGGCCAATCCAACCATACATGCTCGCATTCACACCTATGGTCAATTTAGAGTCACCATTTAGCCTGTAATGACCGTCTTTGGACTATGGAGAGCCAGAGCAATCAGGAGAAACCAACACAGGCACAGGAAGAACTGCCCACCATCAGGTTCAAACCCACAACCTCTTAGTTGTGAAGCATTTCAATAATAAAACATGACCTTGCTGCAAATTTGCAATCTCATTGTCAAAGTTGAACTATAATGATCTGCCTGAAACATGGAAAATAAGAAATGTTATCTACGGCAAACATAGAAACTTTTGCCAAGAGGGTCAAACTTGTCACCAGAAGGCCGTTAGAAGTTTAGCACTATTGGCAAACCAGCAGTCGGAAACTTCTCATTATTGCCAAAATGTTGCTGGACGATTTGCTACTAATGGCCAACCTTGGCAAACTTTTGCCAAAATCTTTTGGCATACTAACGTCTTGGCTGCAAATCAATTACAAATTTGTTGTGATTTATTTAAGGGCATTATACAGTCTAATAGGATACTGTTTTTTAAGTGATAAGTTACTGTTAGCCACGCTAGCAAGATGGCTATATTAATGCTGATCACTTGGTTGGTTGGTTCACCACTTTGGAATAAGCCTGAACAAAGCTGAAGCTACATTTCAGAAAATATTATTCTGGGTATTTTGCCTTTATGTGACAGTTGCAACACAGAAACATGGTGAAGAGAACATATGGGATATGACGTACAAGCAAAGGTCTCGCTGGTTGGGAGTTCAGCCAGACTCGGATTCGGAAGCTGCCAAATATCTGAAAAAATAATTGCGTTGCAATCAGCCTCCCCTGTACTTGGTCGGCATGTGGCACATTTTAGCATGCTAACATGTTAAAAAGCTTAAACAAGGTAAAAATGTGCTTACTAAACATTACACGTGTTGTGTTGGAGTTAGCTTAAATCCAATTTAGCTAAACGCATACAGCCTCACAGCGCTAGCGTGGCATGGTTTTGTCTCCACACCCACAGACGGCTGCACGCTCTCAGGAATGAACTTACACAAACTTGTACATTTGGAGTTTACTGACAATTTACATATATTATTTGCTTCCATAGATGCTAAATTCAACATTTGCTGACCAGGAAACCATAGATTGGGGACCTTCAGTCTTGCACAATTGCAATGCACGGTGCAACAAAGTTATATCAGAGTGGAAGAAGAAAGTTTACCCTCAGCATGCCATGTCACAGTGTTGTTATCACGTTATTGGAATGTATTTTTTTCTAACTGTTACAAATCCATTGGGTATACCAGGTAAGATTTAAACTCAGATAGTTTACTGAGATCAAAATTCAAGGACAGGCCTTCAGCCAGCAGCCGGCATGAGCTAAAAAGTCATTAAATTCAAAAGCTGTGGGAGGAAAAACGAAACGAGCAAGACACGAGATGCAGACAGATCAACAGGTTTCATCTAGGCTTAATGATAAACGGAGGAAACATGAAAGGAATGCGGTGTAGGTTTGAAACGCGTACGTGACAGATACTGAGAAGCCAAGGAGGAGCATAATTATGACTTCGGTGGAACACAGACGAAAGATCTTGCGAAGTGAAAGTTAGCGTGTTATGTCTCATCGACAGCCTACGCAATGTGTGCAAATATTGAGTAACCAAGAGGTGAAGTCAAAGCAAACCGACCAACAGCTTCATTATTTCCAGGTTTATTGCAGTTGAAAAGCACATTAAACAACGTATGATAGTTGGAATAAAAAAAAAAAACAACAACAACAACAAATAAATACAGATACACACAGAGGAGAAAAGAGAAAAGTTACAACCGATAAATTACATGCGTACAAATATAAAGGCGGACGATGATGAGCACTTGGGATGTGACTGCATGCTGGATTGTTTTCACTTTACAAAATTTAAGCCAGAAATCTATTTCCCGTCTTCAGTGGATGGCGAAAATAATAAAGACAAACAGTTGCAGTCGATGCATCTTTAGGTCAGCGGTTTCATTCCAGTCACTCGTGGATTTTGGTTCCTGCTTGTGTGACAGCTCAGTTGGTCGTAGTACTTGTAGTCAGTTCACTCCTTCATAGCTGCAAAATATCTGTAGAACCCGACAACATCATACAATTCTCTGCTGTCCAACTAGTATCTAGTCACATTTCTGTTGAGCCCATGAGCACATTAGTCTGCTGGTTTGCGCCTCCAGTGATCAATAACACTGCTTTGCTCATTAGTCGCCTTCCAGATGTATGTCCAGGTGGTACTGGGCAACATGCATTTAGTTCAATCTGAATGAACTCTGACCTGCAAAAACTCAAGGCTCTCCAATTACCTGTAAGTTTGAGGGATGTTGCCTTTCAGTGGTCACGTAGGAATTTACATTCTTGTTGTACAACTGCATTTTTAGCGTGTTGTTAGCTTGCTAACCATACTAGCTTCTTATATTAACGAACTTTTTCTGCCACTTCCTGCTTTATTTGCATTTACATCATACTGGATTGAATATAATGCCTGGAAATGTTAAAATTTTACAGATTTGGTCGTGTAGGAGCTGAATCACCATTGATCAAGTTACATTTATCCCTTATAAATTCAAATTTAATTACATTTGAGGGGTTCAGAGCCAAAGTGGGCCAAACCACAAAAAATCCAAAGTTGAGTTTTATGTTTTTTTGATAAGTGTTTATGATCTACTAGGTGGTGCCAAAGTGGTCCAACCAACAGCCCACTGGCAATGTCACAATGCACCTTTAAAGTTGGGCCCACAATGGTTTTGGCATTAAAATTCAGTGGCAAGCTGGGCCAAGCCACAGGAATTGCTGACTGTTGTATCTCGGGGGCAGGTAGTTTCAAGTGTCTGCGGTCCAAGATGGCAGACAGCGCAACCTTAAGCCCAGTGAAAACTCAACTCGTAGATACGGTAAGGTAAAATAAAAACTTAATTAACCACCACCACCAAGCATCTATTTCTACCCCATGATCCTCAAAAGTATCTCTAGTTCCTTATGATGTAAACTCTTCAATGCTGTTTAGCGAGACAAACCTCAGTTTTTTCTCAAAAAGTAGAAAATGCAGGATGGCCCGCTTTGGCACTCAGCAAAGGGAAGGCAAAATGAAAACTTAAATAAGTCATCACAAAGTAGCTGTGTCCAGAGATAGACACACTGCTTTGTCTCTGGACAGTGTTGAAACATCTTTGGATGCATATATTGACTCTTCCAACAACCATGGTTTTTTTATAGCATCACAAAATTTTGACCCCAGTTTTCTCTAAAACTATTAAAATGTGGTTTAGCCCACTTTGGCACCAACCCCCTCATTTAATAGTGGACTTTGGCGGATGTTTTGTATTTAGACACCTTTTGCCCGGTTGGATATAACCTAGCTTTCAGAAAAATTAGTGTTTTGCTGTAACAATGAAGATAAAGATGTTGGTGTCAAAACTATGAATTATTATTCGGAATTACGTTAACTCCTTGAACAAAACCGTCGGTCAAGTTTGGTAGGATAAAATCATTCTGCACAGACTTTCAAATGTGCGTAAACCAAAGATAAGTTGTACAGATGGCCAACGTAATGACACCGAAGAAGTAAAGTCAAAACATCTTTATCGCCCCCTAGTGGCTGGTTGTAGTATAGGTCATAAACTCTGCTCCCTATAGGCTGTTTTCCACTGCAGAAACTTTGTGTGTGAACCTCTTGAAAGGCTTTCTGGAGAAAAAAGAACTTCCCCCAGGGTAGGTACTTCTGAGTGACTCTGGAAAACTGCGGAGCCTGACCACACACTGATTGTTAAAACCCTTAAGAGGACAACAAGAGCCATTTTCCTTTTATATCAATGCCTTTGACTAGTGGCAGTCTTCTCCTTTCAAACACTGCCAACTTTAACATAAACTTCACCATACAGACACAACAAACCCTCCGTTGTACTGTTTCCGACATGCTAATGGAACTAGTGTTATCTCTAGAGGCTACTATTTGGCGTTATTTTGGTACACTTGGAGTTAATGTTGGAGACAAAAAAGGCTCAAAGTGCAGATTAAAGGGGCTGTTCCCATAAACATTCATACGCATCTGCCCCGAGATCCTGCAGTGGAAAGCTGCCTCAAGTTAGCTGATGGAACGTGATACCATCTTAAAAAAAAAAAAAATGTAAATGCACCTCAAACAAATGTTACCCGAACATGGATTCAGGCATATTCAGTGCTTGTAGTTACATCAGTGTTTGTTAAGTGTTTAATTTTATGATAGGTAGGTTAACTGATTTGTCTTTGGCATCTACAAGTTGTTGTGTTGAACAAGTTAAAATTGCGATACGAAACTTAATTAAAATTAGCAAGCTAATGCTAAAGGCATAGCTAGCAAGCTAACAGCAGAAGCAATCAATGGTGAAAAGCAGTTAATATGAGGCTAGCTGAACAACTACAGGGTTAGTAGTCACTTTTTCTTAAGCATTTTGGTGACAGTGGCTTGGTTCTGTGAAGTTCAGGGGGTGTTAGCTCAGATTTGGGTGGAGCAGGGGGCGGGGCCTCAATATCACATGATATCACTTTTGTACAGTGGAGGAAGTGGTGACACGTTGCCCATCTTTACATACAGTAGGACAGCAGAGACCAAGATTAGCCTGCAGCAGTGGTATTTATAGACTTATAATAAAAACCCAAAACATCTATGAGGATCAAACCCGTGTTTTTACAATCACTTTTAAAACCGTAAGTCGGACTTTAAACCTGTATACCTGTTTCCATATTTGCCAGTACAAATTTCTCTTTGAAAATTCTCAAGCACAAACACATCGAGGCACACAAAAACACTCAAAACGCACATGGAGATACATACAGTAGTGCCTGCACTAAAGCGCTTTGGTCTGGTCCAGTCGGACTCTGCATGGGTTCAGTCAGTCCTGTTCGTACGACACAGAGACGACAACGTGAAAAGGCACAGAGAGAGAAAACAAAGATGGCCATGCGGGGCTGGTAATGTGTGGATGTGTGCGTGTTTGTTGCAGTCCAACAATCTCATCATGCGTCGTCTTCCGAGCGTTTGTTGCTCGTCTGCCTCTCTCGCTCTCGGTGCCGCTGGATGGCACGCCAGATCCGGCAGAGGACTCCGCCCCTGATGGGGAGATGGAGATGGAGTTACATGGATTGTGGAGGAACAGATAAAACTTTTGGAGGTGCTCTTTTTTTTTTTGTCAAGTTACAGAATTAGTTTTGTCACTGATGGTCCATGAAGGGAAATGACACAGTGAAAGCCTGGATGTTACCAACCATGAGCTTCGATCAGCAGACAACATGAAACACCAGAGTACTTACATTTACAGTGAAGTTGGCCTGTTTCTTATTTTGCAGCTTCATCTCTTGATATCACAGAATATATGAATTCTGGACAGTTTTTTTTAAACCCTCTTAACCTAAAAAACATGCTAGCAAGTTTGAAAATCATGCCACATATTAAAAATGTCACCAAAATGACACAATTTATCACCCACGAACTGTAAAAACAGAAAGAATCATCGGATTTTCAACTTTTTTCGACAGCCCTTGAGCTACTCATTGGTGACGTGCCATTCTGTCAGAAAATGTAACCAAATCTAAGCTTAAGATGGTGATATTTCATCAATCAATCACTTGATTCTACATGTCTCATTTTAAAGTGGGCCAAAAACAAACCATTTGCACCAACCAGATTCTGTAAAACACCAAAAATTCTACCCTGCTTGTCACAATTGTAAAACCGTCAGCGACTCAACTGTGACCATCAGTCATGTGACGAAAATTGTGGAATTTTTCCGCTGAACTCGTTTGAACTGCAGCCTGTGTTCCCACAAAGCAGATACGAGACAAATATGGAAACTAATTAAAATCTATCTTGTGTAGATTTACCACTTTCTTTCCAGTATTGGTGACACCCAGGGAAACTTTAAACATTTTCTACTTGTTGATTCTAGGTTTTTTCAATCGTTGTAAAATAAATAATCAAACAACTTTATTATGACATGTGGCATTCTAACTTTGGGGCTGCAAGGTGGCTCAGTGGTTAGCACTGGGATCTTTCTGCGTGGAGTTTGCATGTTCTCCCCGTGCAGCGTGGGTTCTCTCCAGGTTCTCCGGCTTCCTCCAACAGTCCACAAGCATGTTGAGGTTAATTGGTGATTCTAAATTGTCCGTAGGTGTGAATGTGAGTGTGCTTGGTTGTCTGTCTCTAAGTGTAGCCCTGTGATAGACTGGTGACCTGTCCAGGTGAACCTGCCTTCACCCTGAGTCAGCTGGGATAGACTCCAGCCCCCCATGACCCTAATGAGGATTAAGCGGTGTATAGATAATGGATGGATGGATGGATTCTTTGGTTTCCTGCACAAAAGACATTTTTGAGTTCTCTCTTCTTGTGCTGTTCCCATAGAGGAGCAGGACTTCATATTGCAATAAAATGAGCCCACAGTGAGTAAAAAATGTGACGGGACCAAAAAGACTTCCAGAAACTGCTTAGTGTTCAGAAAGTTAAACGACTTTTGCAGCTCTGCAAGTCTTGCGAGAAGTAAAATCCCATCAGATTTTGCAGTGAGACAGCCTGAAGCCTTGTAGACGTGCGACAACAGTTTGCATTAACCTTTAAAAAACAGTTATTGAATGATTTGTGGAGCCTTTAGAGGAGTGAACGCAGCCAGAAAAGCAGGGACCCATCACTGTAAATGTCAAGGACGCTACAATAAAGTGTTTAACCTGTAACTTCTGTCTGTCTGTGTGTTAGTAAAACACTTTATTGTGACAGGACTCAAAGGTGTGTAGATACCGTAGACGTAGGCAGCGGAGGTCGTCTTTGGTAACGTCGTTAAGAATGTCGGTCAGTGTGTATTCCTCCACCACAAACTAGAACACAGAGCAGAGACGCTGTCAGTTTACAGCCACACTTGAAAGAAAGTCAAAGAAGCTGCAGCTCAAAAGCCGACAAACCTTGTCGACGGTGTCCGGGTCCGCCCCCTGCTCTTTCAGCCAATCAGTGAGCTGCTTGTCCGGCTCGTGGTCCGCTGGGATGTGGAAGATGGAGGGAGGTGAGATGTCTGAAACAAAGACGCCCCCGGTTCACTTTCAGCCACTTTGCTCACAGTAGTTTATTAGTTTTAACTCGTTAAAACTGCTCATTTTGTGCAAATGTATGCAGCACAGCAGAAAATCTCTAATCAGATCATTGCTTCCACGTGGGGATCCCGCGGCTCAGACGTCTTCTGTGTATCGTTCTCCAGTTATTTTGTTGACAAGAAATGCGTGTCAACCTTAATCAAGCGCATTAGCTCATCATAATTAGGAAAAGATTTATCATGACAACAGCAGTTAGAGCAGTTTGTGGATAATCAGTCCTCACCTCAGCGCAGCTTCTGTCTTCAAATTAAAACACCAGCACGACTTCAGACGCATTGGGGAAAATATCACTCGACGAGGAAGGAATTTGTACTTCTTAATTAGTTGCTACAGGAGGTTTTGGGGGATTTTTGTGGCCAAAAATGAATGATTTCTCAAAATTGGCGATGCATCTTGCTGAGTTTTGAGTGCTTTCTGCATAAAATGATGCACATGATCGCAATCAAAGGTGTTTTTGTGTAACGTGGAATCACTGTTGTTGATTAAAAACATACTACAGATTACTGTAAGGCATTTTGATTCTAGCTGTTAGTCCTAAATAGGGCTGAACAATTACTCTAAACATTATCAAAATATGCAGGTATGAAGGTAATATGTCACTATAAATTAACTTCAGGCCTACAAATCATATTTTCTAGTTGTGAGGGAAGATGCTTTGTTTGGTACAGACATTTTCATTTTTGTTCAAGTGGGACTGAAATGCAAAAATGACCATTCCCACTAACATCATAACTCATATTGCAATAGTAAAATGTTTTTAAAAAACAACCTACAAAATGGTTGGGTTTTTTTGCATATTGTTCAGCTCTTGTCATAAATAAACTCAAACATGAAATTTGACATTTGTGCAGCTTAAAATGTCACAAAATCAATCAACAACATGCAAACATGCAACACTGCATGTTTAGAGAAACATCTGCAAAGGTTCTGAATGATCTTTAGACTTTTTTTATGCTGAAAAATGAGACTCCTTGACTTTGTGTATCCTCCCTGCCGTGAACACACACTGTAACTATGTCGCATGTTGCACCATGGTCCAGACGTAAACAAGCGCTTTGCTGTTTTGGCCACAGCTTGTGGAAAGTGACGGAGATGTGAGTGGGGCCGGCTTGCTGAAATAATCAGCCCATTAAAATGACGCTTCCCGATAAGCGGTGATGCTATCTCTGCTGGGAAACGTTTTGGCGAAAACTTCGACTTTGGGGGAAATTACGTCCACACACAGAGTCACAGAGGAAGAGGAGTACAAACAGATCTGTTTGAAATCGAGCCGAGCGAATGATTAATCCGTCAGTGTTTCGGTGCGTCTACCTGGTGGCCGGTGTCTGACCCTGACCAGCTCCAGGTCGTGTGTTCTCTGCTGCAGGGTTGCCTTCAACACTTGCTGATACTCCTTCTCCTTCTGCAGCAGCTCCTCCAGCAGCCTGCACCGGCAGACACAGATTTTATAGTGCATTACAGTGAAAACAAGCAACATGGACAAACAGTTTTATGGTTTAACAAGAGAGGAAAGTCGGCACACTTCCTTCTCACTTAGGCTTTATCATTAACTTGCACTCTCTGTCACAGTCTGTGTTTATCGATCATCCTAGATTAGTGGTTTTCTACCTGGGCTGCTTGTATCCAGGTTTCCAGGAGGCACCGAGGGAAGATTAGCTGAACTAAAATTATGGTTCAGTTAAATAAGAAGAAATCTGCACTGAATCAGCTGAAACGTGGTGGCGAAGAAGCAGAAAAAGTTAGCTAAATGTACTAGAAAAATGGTTTTAAAAAAATTTAAAAACTATTGGTAAAAATGTTACAGCAAAAAATAATACAGTAAAACCAACAGTTAGTTATATTTTAAATTAATCTAATTGCCCAGTGAGAGTTTCATCCTATTTTATTTGAAATACTTTTGTCTGTTCTGTTGTGTTTTTTATTTATTTTTCTATTTATTTGTTATCTAGAATATATTTTTCAAATGTGTGTTTTCTGATACGCAAATTGCAGCTGCAACACCACAATTAGGAAATCAATAAAGTACCATCTGTCTGTTAGAAAGGTACAGTAATAGCAAAAGAACAGAGGAAGCTTCTTGGATGAGAAAAGAAACGTCTTCAAGAACCCTCAAGAGAAGTCCAGCTGATTTCTACCCTGACTTGGATGACTGAGAATCAACACAGATGTAACAGCAAAAGGTGATCAATAAATAATTGTTTATTTAATTCTAGTAATAGTAATTAATTGTAGAAGTTTGCTACAAGTGATGATTTAACTAGTTCACTAAAAGTACTGGGAAATGGTTAAAACAGCTGAAGGTAATAAACAGAATTAAAGGCAAATGATAAATAGTCTGTAAAAGTTATGTAATGTGTTTTTTCTGTTTTGTTTTTTTTTCTTACATTTAGTATCTAACACATTTTCAAAAATGTTTTTATGTGTTTTTTGATACATAAATGGCTGCTGGTACTACACTGTATATGACTGATTATACTCTCTATGTACTAAATGCTTCGATGAAAGTAACAGCTTGCTAAAAGTACCTAAAAGAAAAACTTGTTCTTTGTCAACAGCTTTACTTTCACTCGTACCTGCTGGTCTCCTGTTTGAGTCGACCCAGCTGAGCTCCCAGCTGATGATGCGAGCGCTGATGCTCCTGGCAGTGGGCGGAGCTTAGCGTGATGACGGCGGGGTGCCCGTGGTCGGCGTTCGTGCCGGGGTCGTCGGCGTGCGACGCCAAAACCGGACCGAATTCCGCTTCCTCCTCGTCCACCTCGTCCTCCTTCTCGGCTCCCTCGCACTCCGACGCCGGGCCGAAGTGGGTCTGCAGCTCTGGAGGCGAGAAGGTCAGGAGACGTCATCGTCTCTTTCTTTTATTCCAATTCAACCGTGGTTTGTGTGTATGACTATGCAACTTAAAGATGAAACTGTTTTGCATGTTTCCATTATGTGGAGCCAAAAGCCACCTGGTATGAGGATGGTGATCGCCGCCTGCACAGCTCGACGGATGATGTTGTCCATGGCGAACATCCAGTGGGGTTTGATGTGCTGATTCCTCAGGACCTTGTTCACCTGAAAACAACAGGGCAGGTACTTGTAGATAAAAACTTACAACCTCATTAGAGTTAGCTGGACATTCATAGATGGTTTGAAATCGTCAGCTTTCATTTATAGAATATTCTTTTTGATTTGTTTTTCATCAAGAATATTTTCTTTCCTAAAATAAAACCAGAGCATTTAGTATTTAACTGAAGTTCTCGACCATATGGTTTCTGTCTATCTGAACCAAATTCCTCAATTTAGCTGAAATATACAAATTTAACACATCTACCAGGGTTACTCAGCTACTGAGGCAGCCTACAGCATCTTTTGCACCACTTTCCTATCTTTGGCACTGTGCATGTGTTTTACAGCAAGTCCAAAAGCTCGACGCTGCTGCTGCTTTGTATGTATGTGTGTGCTGACCGAGTCCTGGAAGCCGAACAGCACCAGCTGGATCTGGTTGATGGACGTGGAGTCGAAGTCGAGGTCCAGCTTGAGTTTGGAGATGGTGGCCGCCATGACGCGCCTCTCCGGGGAATGAATGAAGTCTCGAAGGATGCAGATGATCTGCTTGATGTGATCGACAGACAGCTGGAGCTCCTCGCTGCCCTGTGAACATGTTTATACACACAGGCAGCAGAGTTTAAGTAAAGAGTTCATCGTAATGATCCCAAGTTGCAAGAATCATTTTTATGTAAAGTCTGATAGTGATACACATTCATGTTACTAAATGGGCTTTTGGGTTGTGTGAGAATAGGACACTCATGTTATGAAAGAGCTTTTGCGCCCCCAGCTGGTAGTATTAGAAAACACAGTGTGGCAGACAGCAATGCAGGCTTCTTAACTTAAATCTGACTTAGCCATTTCTTTTACCACTTTTGATGTGTGTTTGTCTTGTTTAAACACCCAACTGCATCCAGGATTGAACCTTCTGGATGATAAATTTAGGTTTTCTGAAGAATGTGGAGGTAATCCTCCTTCTTCATTTTTTATTTCACTTTGTGTAAAACAGAAGCTCCACGATCAGCGAAACAGCCTCAGAGCATGATGCTGCCACCACCATGCTTGGCTGTAGGTTTGGTGTTCTTGGGGTTAAGTTCTTTCCTTAAAACCTATTTCTGGTCGTTGGGGCCAAATGGCTCAAATTTTCTTTCATGTTCATTCTGCAAAACTTGCAGTCGGGAGACTTTGCTGAGCATCAGGACAGTGAACGGTGCTGGAATTGCAGCGATTGGTTGTGATGTGGACAAACTACACCAACATGGAGTCTGATTGGAGACGACGCCGGCAGTTACCAGAGAGAGAAGGAAGCACAAACGGTACAAACGTAAACAAGGGAGGAGGAAGATAACTACGTTGACTGATTTGAAAACTTTAGTCAACGTATATTCACGCCTGTATATGTGCATGTGTTTGTTGAACTTCAAATTCAGCGTTTGTTGTCACTGCACTGCAAATTTCATTGTAGAAATATTTGCAATGAAGCCGGACTATTCTAAAATGTAACGAGTTTGTAGGAAAGTCTGCTACACAGTTCATATAATAATCCATGCTGCTTTCACATCACTGCAGATGTTACTGCACTGAATTACTTTTTTTTTCTGGGTCCATAACCACTACCTGCTTAACGCTAAGCGTAGATGACGTCTTACTTATGATTGAATGTTTTTATTTACCTGTTTTTTGTCACTAAATTGAACTTCAGTCCCCACATGAGCAACACAAGCACACACACACACCTGGATGTGGTTTTCCTTGAGGTTGGAGATGACCTTCTCCTGGTCGTCATTGAGGACTTTGTACAGAATCGCCCGTCTCTCGCTGTCCTTCTTCAGCAGGAACAGGCCGCTGTCCCTGTCCTCCGGCGAGGGGGGGGCACTGCGGTCCTCCGACACCGAACCCTCATCAGGAACACTGCAACAAACACACACACACACAGACACACACAGACACACACACAGAGTGACCTCATGGAAGTATAAAATGAGCCATGAAGCATGCCGGTGATTTACAACATCGTGACGCGCCGCTCGGTTTATTTACAGATACAAGCCTCTCCTGGCTACTCTGTGTGAACAGGAAAGTGCAGAGGCAGCATGAGTCAGCGCCATGCGTCGTGCGCGAACGCACACACATGCACGTGTGGCCGTGCACGAGCGCCGGCGCGTGTGTGCACAGCCGCCAGCTGAAGCTCATAAAGTTATCAGAGCTCATTATATCAGCATTGTAAAAGTCAGCAGAGCACACTGGGAGGCCAATAAGGCCACCTGCCACCCAAACACACACACAGATGCACTCATTCACATCTTTTCACATGATCTGAACTCTACCTGCGCGACTCGACCTCAGTAACACATCTTTTTTATGCTCTCGTAGTTTCTAACACAGCATTTTTTCTGCAGATTCACATCACTGCTGGAGTCTGTGATTACATGTTTTTAAGAGTTTGCTCCCAAACACACCTCAGGTAGTTGGAGTTTGGCGGTTTGAGCAGGTTTTCGGAGCCGGAGCTTTTCTTCTTCTGGAAGAAAACGTCGTGTTTGGAGTCGCAGTCTGGACTCACGGAGCCGTGTTCGCTGCTGCTGCTGCCGGCGGCTTCGCACTGCAGCTGCACCGGCAGCGACACGCTATGGATGTAGTCTGAAACACACAAACATGGTGATTAAAACTTCACATGCATTTAAAAATGCAGTTAATACACATGCGCCTTAAATCATTAGCAATGTGATGTGTTCTGGCCACACTGAATTAAAAATAGAAAGAAAGTCAGCCTCTCTGACAGACACAGTTCACAAACTAATCATCCATTTTAATTTTTTCCTGGTTTGGTTTGTCTCCCTCCTATCAGTGATGCTCTCAGTAGAGATCTGTCTCCCTACATGTGGTGCTTTATGCTCCCATAAAAACTGACTCTGCCACCAAACTGTGAATCAGGCTGAATAAATAATCAGCTACATCTGGCCGAAAACCCTCATGACACCCAAACTTTAATCAATTCTTTATTAATCTGGAGTCGCAGATTGAAAATGAAAGAACATTGCTCTGATCCTCTATTCAGTTCTCTGATAATGCTGCTGAGTTCTTGTCAGATGGGGATATATTAAGTCAAAACTAACCTCAGTTGAATTAGCAAACTAAGGAACAGTTCAGAGTTTGTGCAAACACTGGGCTCACTCTTGAAATATGCTTATATTCCGAGAGTAAAATGTGTCTAAAAGGTGGAATAATTTGGTCTAATGATAGAGGAAGGTGCTTTTTTTTATTTCAGGCAAGGCTCACAGACTGTTTCCTTGCAGGAAACTGGGAAGATACTTACAAGATTTGGTGAACAGTTTGGCTGATAATAATGTGACGTGGAAATTCTCCTTGTGCAAAACTTAACTGTCAGTTTGATTGTGTCTCTCCTGTATATGTAACACCACAACTTACACTGCATTGCACTCTTTTCATGTATTATGTTATTTTGTTTCTGTATGGCTCGTTTTTAATCTTTATTTTGAAGCCCCTAGATGCTAAAATTTCCTTCAGCATCCATGAAATATCTATTAATCTGTCTGAATCAGATCCATTTTAGTACTTGTGCAGCAAAAAGAGGACACAGTCACTGTTTTTTTCTTCCTCAAGGCCTTAAATATAATGTCATGAAGAAACATTAGTTGCTGATCTCGATTCTGGTGTTCATCATGTGTCAAGATTACACAGCTTTGGGCTTCCCTCAGTACGACAGCACATCAATACTAGCTCAGTTACAAGCATAGAAATCATGACATTTATGAGATCTAGAGGTTAGATGTTGGTGGTTGTTGACGGTATGCAACCTGATGGTTTGAAGGCGATCTTGCTCTTCTTTCCTTTGGTGTTGTGCCTGACAAAAGTGTCTCTGAGCAGGTCCGAGGCGATGGCTCTCTTGTGAGGGTCGGGCTCAAAGCAGCGCAGGATGAACGACTTGGCTTCCAGCGACAAAGACTCGGGGATCTCCGGGTGGATCTTAAACATGCCCACCTGCAACGTAAAGCCACAGAAAGGACATTTTTTTAAAAACAGAAGATTTAAAGCTTCAAGTAAGTATAAATGCACCTCATTTGCAGCCGGTACCAACCTTAAACATGGCTGCCTGTGGCTCCCCCAGCTCATGAAATGGAGGTTTCCCAGTGGCCATTTCTATGATGGTACATCCCAGCGACCAGATGTCAGCCGGGGCCCCGTAGCCTCGTGGGCCCTTATCAATGATCTCTGGAGCCATGTACTGCAGAGTACCTACAAGCAGAGAGGCAGATGTTACAATAAGCATTGTTTTACCCACAAACTGAGCCTAAGATCTAGAAAAACATGGCTTATCTTTCCTAAAAGTAGATCGTAAACCCAGATCTAACCTGACTGGAGGTTTTATTACACAACTTTGTACACAAGTCGCAAAGATCGAGCTTCATTTTGTCTCCAAGTATTTAATCTGCCGTCAGAAATTCAGAGCAGATTGGGCATTTGCTCCAAACGCTGATGCAAACAGAGAGAGGCAGCGAGAGCTATAAAAAGTGAAAGCGAAGCAGCAGAGGAGAAACCGATAAGGAGACGCACACACCTGCTAATGAAAGGTAAACACCCTTCTGCCTCTGCCTGATTAGCTAATCTAATTACACACCTCGCTGGCCGCTGGAGAAGCCAGATGGCCGATGAATGTGTATGTCTGTACACTAGAACGTGCTCGTGTGTTTCCATAGAGGCAGATAGTGGCTCTTGACATTTTGAGGGTCATTTGATATTTGCACTCGTAGACTGAGACGGCGGCATATCAGCGGCTCCATTTGTGCAGCTCAGACTGAATTACTGTTTGTTTCTTTCTCTGTGAGCCACTACGGGAGACGTTTATTTAGTTCGAGAGGATTTAGATAGTGCTCTCTTGTATTTTCTAAACACTGTGCTTTATAGTTTAGGCTCCTCAGCAGAACAATTGTTCATATCTTAGAGGTGTATTAGAGTAACGTTCTTACAAACTGACAGACTTCAACTCTTAACCTCTTAAAGTCGAGCCGAGCAAGTTTACACCTCTCTATATTTTGCCTTATATTGGAGTTTTTATCAGGGACAAAGACAGAGTATGATGAAGCCTGTGGGGAAAAAAACAGGAAAAGTTTCTGATATTTGAGATGAAAAAGAATATTGGTGTTCCTCTTGGGAAAATGTAGGAAAACAGTGAGTCTCCTTCAGCAGTCCAGAGTCACATTTGAAACAGTGAGTAAAAGCCTTATAACAACAAAATAATCAACATTAATTGAACTTTTAAAAATCTATTTATTTGACTATAAATGTAAAACACATAAATGTAATTTGACCTTTTTGTGACGTGATAACATCTAGAAATTTGGGGAAGAGGTACAATCCATGGTCCGAGATGTCATCTAAAAGCAATTTGTGTTGTCCTTCTTATTTTATAATTGACAGTGTCTTTGATCAGGTTTCTGTTAACAATTCTTTTAATTCTAGCTGAAAATGTATTTTTGCTCCTTTGGTCTACCCGATCACACATACTAGAGCTTCTTCTATGGGAACAACCGACTGAGGGTTTAAATCATAAATCAGGTGAATTCTGGAGACATTGAAATTTGTTTTTACAACTTCAATATTGCCCTGGAACGCAAAAGCTTATTCACAGATCTATTTCTATATTTTGAGATTTTGTACATTATAGTGTTTTTTTTGATGGATTGGTTGATTTAGGGTTTGCATGTCTTTGTTATTTGTGGATTGTGGATGTAAGTGTATTTTAAATCCTGTTTAAAATCAATAAAAATACAGTTGCAACAAGGCAGAATCAGAGGTGTTAACGGTTACCTGTGAATGTTTCTGTACAAGGATTGACTCCCGCCAAACGTTTCGAAGTACCAAAGTCTGAGATCTTCAAGACGCCACTGTAGGTGTTCACCAACACATTATCACCCTAATAAAGAAACAGATCCACACAGAGAAAGAGAGTTAATTTACAATAACGTGGGTATGATTTACCTTCTCTTACACTCTGGCAAAGCTTTTATATTATCTACTTTTGCACCAAATAATAAACAAAGATTGGGCTTTGAAAGGAGCGATACGTAGTTTCCTGTTAGTAATGGTGTGCCACAGGGCTCTATTCTTGGTCCTTTATAATTCAAAATAAACATGATGAGCAGTATTCTTTGAATATTCATCCGATTAGAACGTTACAATGATTTTGCGTCCGATCAGACTGACAAATCTGTGGTACGAAGCTGAATCATGTTCAGTGTGGTTCCTTGTACCTTGATGTCTCGGTGGACGATCTGGTTCTCGTGCAGGTACCGTAGCCCCTCCAGGATCTGTCTGGTGTAGAAGATGATCGTCGCCTCCTTCAGAGGACCCCATTTCGACCGCAGCAACGCAGACAGGCTTCCTGGAGAAAGGAGACAAGGAGTGTCCAAAACCTATCATGAAATGGGAAGACGACCAAGCAGTTAGAGAGACCGCCCGGCAACCGAGAGGTCACAAGCATCGATCTCTGAAACAGATTATTTGTCCATCATGAGCCTTAAGTTGTACTTAGCTGAGAACATCAGACAGAACATCTGATTCATCCTGATGACGTTAAGGGTAATTTTCTGTGTCTCTAATTAGCCTCGACTAAATACCTTTTATGCTACTCCCAGAATAAATACAATAAATATAGATACTGAGTCAAGACAAAATAACTGCACTGGTACACAGGCTCTCTTTCTCTGCTTGGTACAAACGCACCTCCAGGCACTTGTTCCATGAAGATCTTGATGTATCCGTTCTCAGAAACAGAACCCAGATACTGAACAATGTTCCTGTGCTTTAGGTACTTGTGAAGGGCGATTTCTTCATGGAGGGGCTGGGAGTACCTGATTCACGGGATGGAAAACAGACACAAAGAAAGACAAACTGCATTTTGTTCGTTTGGTTTAGTGTGCTAATGCACGTTCTGTTTTAGCTGTTCACATTCATGTAGTGTTACTTTTCTTAACAAAGGGTATTGGCTGTACATCCGATCTTTATTCAGTGTAACTGCCATTTAGATTTAGAAGAGCTGAACAAGCTTATATAGTCAGTTATTTAGGAAATAGAAGATCTGAGGGCTACTTAAAGGGAAACATGAGGCACCATTTGTGTCCACACTGATCCGATTATTAATGTCGACGTGCTCCTGAAGCATACAATCTGGAGCACGAGTTCAACCCAGAACACTTTGGCAGTGAACCAGCTGTTGTCTATCAACTCAAGATTTATGAAGAGAGTTGGATATGGTGCCAATTTGTCCCAGTTGTCATTCGAAGCATTGCCAACAAAAATAATCCCTTGCAGCCCAAAAAGCATTTTTCACATAGACTACTTATCTCCAAGAGATGTCTGTAAAGTTGTTGACATGACACCTCCAGCTGCAAACTAGGTTCTCATTTTATTAATCATCTCCCTACAGTTTTGGTATTTTTCTAGAAGGCAAAGCCACTGTTGAGAAAAGCTCATATTACATCTCTACTTGTGCTCACCAGGAGGCATGTGTGAGACTCTGAAGAAGCTTCTTTGGACTGATGAGACCAGAATTTTGCTTTTTGGACGTCAGACTAGATGCTAAAGACACTAAACACTGCATATCATCACACAGCATCCCTTTTGTGAAGCTTGTGACTCCTTTAGTGGAGTCATACCCGTCTTGGTGGCCTCGCTCACTAGTCTTGTTCTGACTCAGTTTTTTTGTTGTTTAATTAATAAAGATTTCATATTTGTTTCTTCATTATTTGAGCACATATTTCATATCTTATCCATCACAATGTAAAGTCTGTGGGCTGAGTACAAACCAGTGAGCGAGCAAGCAGGATATGTTTTTTGAATGTTTATATTTTTCACACAAAGCACACTTTTGTGCTCTCAGCTGTACCAAAAATGTACTAAACTATGATCCCAAAACCGAGGTGGCATACCAAACCTACCTGCTGTCTCTTTCGGGGATCTCCTTGATGGCGATACGGACCTGGTTGCTGAGGTCTCTCCCAGCATAAACCACTCCGTAAGTGCCTCGACCCAAGACCACCCTGTCTCCTGTCTCGTTGGTGTCATACTCGTACTGTAGCAGACAAATACATACAGAAAGCTCCAATCAAATCCAGGTATTTAAAGGTGTAAAATAATGCAAACAAGCCAGGGTAGTAGTGTCCAGGTTGTCTGGTCGATTGGTTGCTCGATAGGCTCTTATCAGACTAAATTATCATCTGTGTGTTTTCAAAGGAGAAAAATGCTACATCAATAGCCTTGCTGGATTAATCCATCCTTGTTGGTGGGGGGAGGAACTGCACACCTCCACCTTTTCACAACTTCTACAAATGGCCCAATCTAATGTAGGGTGCTAAGCCAAACTTATTTATCATAGAAGATTGGTCTAAGAGTAGGTATAATTTCAGTTTCTTTGGTTCCCTACAAGCCTAAAACACTAACCTCCAGTGTATCTCCATCACCTTCCCCCTCCAGCTCCACAGAGTTCCCCGTCCCGTCAGATATCATCTCTTTGACCATCGAGCAGAACCTGAAACGCACCACCGGTTATTTCCAGTTCTTGGCCTCCGGGTCACAATCGCACATACGGACTGTACGAACGCAATCACAAACACGCACACACACCTACACAGACACATCTAGAGGTGTGTGTCCTCACCGACCGCACTGCTCCTCAGTGGAGAAGTAGATCTGGAAGTCGTCCGAGTTGTCGTGGACGTAGAGGAAGCAGCAGCGCTCGTCAAACTTGCTGATACTGCAGACAGAAAGAACGAAATCCTAGTTTAAACATGTCTATTTACGCTTCTTTGGGGGTATTTAGCACATCCCGTAACAGAGTTTTTAAAAACTAAGTACCTCATCTTCATGCAAAAAAATGCACTTTTCTTTATGTTTGATTTTTAGCTGCACAATGTCCAACATGTTCAAACTGTTCATACCTGATCCCTTTGATAGACATTGCAGTGAAGTTCCACTCATGGATCCCCTTCTGTAATAAAACGCAAATCCTTTAATTTTCCACATTGGTCATATATTCAATCAGGATCTCGTTTCTTTTGGACTCATTCAAAGCCTCACTTTAAAAACAATAAAACAACAGAAGGAGGTAGTCAGTCTAGTTAGTCACATAGCTGCAATATTTTAATTTATGCAATGCTAAGCGGTATATGCGGATTTCTACGTGATCTAATACATGATCATGATTTGTTCAGATGTCTCTTGCCCTCTGCTACGGTGGCTAAGCTAACCATAGCTATCTTAGCTACTATAAGCCTTTTGCTGCATTGACAGTCGTGCAAACATGTAACCAAACAACAGAAAAGACAAGAATAAATCAAACTACTTTATTGATTTTGATCACATTTGCTTGCATCACACTGTCAGTAAGCTAGAAAATTAAATGTATATTTGCATACACATTTGATATGCATACTCTAATTTTAATAACGAATAAGGAACTGCAGGGGGCAGCACATGTAATAAGGAAGGTTCCACTCAAATTTAGTGCAAATTTACCTTAATGCGTGTTTTCTATCACTAGTGTTGACGGTTTGTGTGGTTATTAGGGGACGGTTGATGCCACTGAAACTTTTCCAGTTACAACTTTTCTGTTCTTGCAATGAATAGCAAAATTGTTTGCAGTAAAAGCAGTCTCATCTCAATTTTGTGCCATAAAACCACAGCAGAAAAGGATGCATTGCGGTAGTAAAAGTAAGAGTGCCACTAAAAAACTGCAAACAATGCAAACAATACATTTAAGAAGTGCTGAAATTTCCCATTTATGCTCGTTCACTTTGCGTTAAACTTTTTTTGGCTGCTGGAAATGCACTTAGTGACATGTACTGGTCGTGTAATGAAACAAGAAGATGACGCTCTGACCGTTTCAGCAGGAGAAACATGCCAGATAGAAACGTTCTTCTCCTCAGCCTCGTTGTTAATCGACACATAGGACGGCTGGTAAATCTTGGTCGGCTCCAGAATCAACACCTGTACACGCAAAATAAAAACATACAGTCATCACAGCACCTGGGTGTGTTCATATCTGAAAATGCACATTAGTATGAATATATGTGTTTGTACTGGAAACCGCAGTCTGTTGGTGGTTCCCTGCGTGGCCTCTACGATGATGTCCATCCAGAAGTCGAGTCGTTCTCTCTGGGGAGAATGCTCCACCATCTGCTTCTTAAACCTCTGGATCAGCTGCAAGTTCTGCACCACTGACCGCAAATACCTGAAAGAAATGATATATAAACCAAATCAATGACATCAATAAGCATCTCAATATCCCCGAAAATACATTAAATTTCCCTAAAGTGTTGGTTATTATTTGGATTTTTGCGTGGGATGATTGAAATAAATGAGAAAAGGTAGAAATTAGAGATTTTTTCAAAGGGGTTTGGATACTGAACCATCACCAGATCCTTCTTTTTCGTCTCCAGTGGTCAACTGGCCATTTCAAATTTGATAAAACACATCTATTTTGATTAACAGTGTAGAATGAAACTATGAAACTACCTTTATTTTTGGATCACCAATACTTTATTAATACTGATAACAAATGTACTGATGTGGGCCTTTAACTACAGAAGCACAATTAATTCACATAAGAAAACAAACTGGAGGCTTTATTTTATAATTACAAGATGTTGATTTCTGGTTTCTTGTAAATTAAAAGTCTGCACAACACTATGATATACAGCCACAAGTTATTTACATTATATCAGGTAGCTCCATCACTCCTCTCATTATAAGTTTTTCTCATAATTATGACGTCTGGATCTCAATGTAATTACGAGATAATGAGTTGTAATTACAAAAGAAGTCCTCTAAATGATTTCTTTTACCTGTGAATGTAATGCACTTCTGTACATAACAGCCCAAACAACACAGAAAGGAAACACGTGTAAAGTCTTTACCACAGCGGTGGCTTCAGTTTGAAGAGCTTCTCAGCAGCCTGAGTGGCTTTAGGGATGTCGCTCGCCAGCATGCTGACGGTGAAGAACTGGCCGATGTCCCAGTAGTTATTCATTTTCTCCAGGGAACCTTTGCGCCCCAGCAGACTGTTCAACCTCACACCTACAGAGAGAACATTATCAGAGGAGAGACAGTGATGCTGCGTCCAAGCTTGTTCCAACTTTTGTGGCTGTGTGGATGCTTAGAGCTGCAAAGTTTGAGGATTTTGTAAACTAAGCAGCCTTAATACTGAAACTGAAACTTAGTATTTCACTCATTTCTGATCGTCTGAAACAGAAAAAACTTTCGCACAAACTAATGAAGCAGATGCATTAAGTATCAGGTGGCATTTGAATGCAAATTCTATGTAGAAAATGCACAAATCGGATGTTTTTAGCCAGTTTTGAGTAAAGACAAATCGAAGGTGGTGTCACCTATTTTTCTCAGCTCCATGGAGCTCTCAAACTGCTGGCCAGCAACTATGAGGAGGACGGCCAGGTTGATGCCAGAGTAGAGAGTGGGCTGCAGCTCAAAACCTTTCCTGTACCTGCAGGTTGGAGGGGAACCACAGATAAAAACATGAGGTGGAAAGAAATGAACGTAGAAAAGATTCATTTATCATCATCTGTGTCTTCTCACCACTGTATGGCGTTGTCTCTGTTTTTAGTGTCTTTGCAGTCCGAGTCGAGGAAAATATCCTTGTAGATTCGTCCACAGAGGCAGAACATGTCCGGAGCAGGATGTTCGCAGGACTGCAGCACCTGCAGCATCACTCCGAGAGCCTGCTCCCTGTCTCCAGGACTGTTCCTCCTGCACGTGTACAGATGCACGTCAACAATACAGTTCTGTGGTTATAGCTGTACATACAAGATACATACGGTGCTCTATGAAGGCCACAAAGTTGAGTAATTATGTTAGAAATTTACAACAAGTTGTGCATTTACAGTCCATAGTTCAAGATTAAATGTGTTTTTGACTAAATACGTAACTGCTAGTCACTGTTTTCTGGCTTTCTGCAGCAGAATATGGTTGAAAACTTAAAGGTGAATAACACTTCAATGACTCCTTATAGTAGCAGAACAGTTTATCTAATGCTATCCTTGATGTGCAAGGGGTGAGCTTCAAGTAAAGCTACTGGGTCAATAAAAAAAAGAAACGTCTGCACTGAATTTGAAGAGGAAAAAAGTAGGCTTCTGTGGACAACAACATTGCATCTCTCGGGCTCTCTACTTCCCTTGCCCATGAAGGATGGTAAAACTGCTTTAGCTATGGGTTTAAAGGAATCCATCTGCTTCGTACCTGTTGAGGGCGAAGGCGTAGTGGAACTGGATCATGGGTTGTGTCGCCAGATCACAAGTCGGCAGCATCTCCAGAGTCTGAACCAGCTTCACCATCGCATCATAGTCCTGTTGGTCAAATAAAAAAACAAGGGATGACCTCTCATTTTAACTTTATCATGATGCATGCACAGCAACAGAAAATGATACCAGTGTCGCTTCTGAGATGAGGTTTCACAGGTGACAATGGTGGGGTTTCTCCAAATGAAGCCCATTGTTTTCTGTGTTTGTACCTGTATGTCTCTGTAGGAAAACAGCAGGTTCATGACGATGTCCTGCGTCAGGACCTCCGTGTTGTCGATTCGGAGTTTGATGCGAGAAAGCTCTTTGGCCAGCTCCTCTCCCTGGTACTTCTCTCTGGCCTTCCTGATGTCGTTTAGCAGGGTGTCCTTAAAGGAGGCACTGCAGGGAAGAAAATAAAGAAAATTACCAAAGTGGGGGAAGAAGAAGGAAGATTGAGATGATTTTGATGATGATGAGAGGTCAAGTGTTAAATAAATGTGAGGAAGGTGATGAAAGAATAAAGGGAATGATGGCAATTTGGACTTCAGGGAAGCCGATTTTCTTTTCAGAATTCAATATTTAAAGCAAAAATCCACTTTGTGACATTAACACGCTGCCACAAAAAAGTCAATGATGACACACCATGCATGGAAATAGATAGTTTTTGAAATACACAGTCTCAAAGAGTATGAAAAGAGTCTATTAAGGTTAATTAAAATGTTAAATCTAGTGTGGACAAGATAGGACAGCTCTCAGTAGGAACTCCGAATTTAGAAAAACAAAAAACAATAAAAACAAAAAAAAAACAGATGTCACTCAGCACATCTGTTAAAGTTCAATACGCTTCCAAATGCTTGACTTGAACATTTCAAACCTCCTAAATAAAAAGGTATAGCTAAACAGCTCTCAGAGTTTAAACTCTAAGAAGCAGATGTTCTGAAGTCAGTCACTCGGGCGGCATCAAAAGAACTTTAAGCTTCTAATCTACATCACTATATGAAAATGACATAATCTACCTGCAATATCTGACAATAATTGGTGTTTAGTAGACTACTGTGTGAAATATTATCCATTTTTTGACAAATCAGCTCTGTAAAATCAGCAATATTCACTGCAAAAAGATATGTTTTTCTTACTTTCTATGCTACGCCGATGACACTCAACTCTACGTGCCTCAAAAATGCAGCCGGAATAACAGTCTTCAGCTGCTTAATGAGATTTAAAAGTTCATATGTGATAGTTTCCCTAATTAATGACACTAAGACTAAAAGTGGTGTTTCACTTAAGTAAATATTCTGAATACTGAAAACCATCATTGTTTAACTGGGTCCCAGTTTTCAAAGAAGAAAACTCACATTTTTTGAATGATAACATAAAAGCACAATTTTTTTCACTTTACTCATGTGCCTTTTAGTTTCCGTCTCACCAGGATGTTACGTGGATGTCCTTCAGCAGGCTGGTGAAGCGGTCGGTCAGCGGGACGCACAGCGGCCCCAGCAGGTTGTCCCAGCTGGGCTGCATGTACTCGCTGGCCCTGCGCTGGGCGTCGCTCTCGCAGCACATGTACTCGTGGTTAGGAGTCACTATGTAGGGGATGAAGTAGTAGTTACCACTGGATGCCTGGATGGACAGAGGGAGATGGTGCAGATTAGAAGAAAGACTCTGTTTATGGGCGATTCCAAACCCCTGGTGCAGGTGTAATGCAGCTACAGATCAGATAAAACACACATGCTGGACATCGATGCCAGGTGTTAAAGGAGATGAGAAAGACATGAGGGAACAGGGGTGAGGAGAGTGAGGATTAGAGAGTGATTAATGAGGAGGATCAGTGCACCTCAGAGATTCTCTGGCAGCATCAACATCAGCAGCAATAATAAGCCTCACGTGGCTGTTGCAAATCCAGAATAGCCGGAGCTAATGCACACAAATATACTCTGCAACTTGTGTTTCTCATTCCAGCTCTGTGTGTTCAGCTCTTTATTATTGATCCTTTTTGTTATCTACCAACACTACTAGATGCATGACAAATAAAGGCATAAATACTAGTTGTTCTCTACTTCTTCTATTTTAACATACATTTTAAACTTTTAACTTTTTAATCGGACTATCAGTCAATCAATTTGATGCTTGCTGGACATTAAATTGTTTTTTCTGTCATTAAATACATTTTTAGAGTTATAATGCTGTCGATTAACACAAGAAACTACAATGAAAACAGGCAGTCTGAAAAGAAATCCAGGCTTAGGCTGCTTAAACTGCTGTTATTGTGACCAGAGTAGAGCAAAAAGCTGATTGTAGATGATTGTATTCTTCTATTTTGTAGGCCTACACTTGTTTTTTTGTCTCCTTGAACTCTATGTAGTAAAACAAGTTAAAGCAGCATTTTACAAATAAAGTGCATATTCATCTTTGCACTGCTTAGCATCAGTTTTCTTGTTATTCCTTCATGTTGACAATTTGGGATGAAGCTAATTCCTCCAGCTCCATTAACCACAGACTATTAGACCATATTCATTATCACAAAATTTAAATCAGCAGTCACTGATGTCTTGATAAAGTCCGTCTCTGAAGCTGCTAAACACTCGTATACGTTCACCAGCTCATCTCTGACTACGTCTGCCTGCTGTTTGTTGCTGTGCTGTGGTTTTTGGAGGTTTTGCTCGGAAATGAACTGCTTGTTCGAGCCAAAATATGACACTATAGGACTGGTGAGAGTGAACCAAAGCAGCTAAGTTTTAGCCGGATAGCTAAACAGTGAGCTAGAACTCACCATGAAGCTTCTTTTATATTGTTTTCCCATTATCACAGCCACTTGCTACTCATTCATGAAGATCAGGTGGTTGACAATATCTACACTCATGGCCACAAAGCTGCCAATTTATCATATATGGACCCATATATGCTCTACTTTAGCTGTAGATTGTTGAACGATGCAGCAAAAGTTGAACTAAATAATTAAAACATCATCTGCAGCTCATTTTCTCTGCCTTTGGCGTCATGAGTTGCACACTGTTAGAGGATTTAATGTGTTATTCAAACAACCAGCATCCCATGGGAACTGGTCCAGTCTCACCTCGCGGTCTCAGTAAGTATTAGTAGGAAATCTCCCAGCATGCTTTGGTGCAAGCCTGGTACCTACTTTATTGCGCAATCCAGAGCCTCTGTATTCTGGAGGCAACTGAACCCAAGGAAAGCCTAACGCTGGAGGACGAGCGGCCTACTCCACAAACACACACAAATGGAAAGCACACAAACTGGACGTTAAACATCAGGTTTGTTTTTAATGAAAACTAGCTGCTGAAGAGCCAAGTTTCTATTCCAGGAGCCTGCCATGCATGTTTTACCACATGTGAGCGTTTGTACATGGAAGACAGAGAAGTGGGCTGACAGAGTGAGAGCATGTCGATGTGCATTCCTGCATGCTTTCCTGCATGACAGGACAAACGCCACTTGTCACGAATATTATTCCAGGAATAGAAGGAGATAGTGCGCACACATAAATCACTGTGAAATGCACACACACATAGAAACTTACTGTGTTTTTCTGCGCCACCATGTCCTGCACGGAGAGAAAACAAAGAGCGTGTGAGAAAGTGTTTGGAAGGCTGCATGGCAGAGCGACAAAGTGCATCCCTGCCCGCTTTAAACAGCTGGCAGGCCTCACGGTGCCGCACAAACCGGTCCGTAAATAACTCTGCGGATCACTTTGTTCTAAGGTGGCGTGGAGGAATGGCATCCGTGAACTCTGATTACACCGCAGGGAGTGTGCGCGAGGAGTACCTTCAGTGACTGGGCGGTGTCGGGGTCGGTGTCGTGGTACAGGATAACGTTGTTGGCCATGTCGAAGCTCTCCCTCACGCCCAGGTGGTAAAACAAGGAGGGCTGGCGAAACACGTCGCTCATGTCCACGACCGCGATGTCTGGAAAGGAGGAAGTGGAGGTGATGACAACCTAGAAATGTGCCTCGAAGCTCAGATTTTAACTGTGAAAACAGTTTACAGAAGTGAAACTTGAGCTAAGATTCAAGTCCATCTGCTTTTTAGCATCACTGTGAGCAGATTCTATGAAATATGGGAAGTGTTTTTAAGAGGTTATAACAAGAAAAAAAAACAGTTGAAGACTCCTCATTTGCTTTTTTCCCCACATTTTATGGCCGAAAAAAAGGTCCTTGCAATCTCCTCACTTGCAAAACATGAACATCTATCCATCCATTATCTATACACCTCTTAATCCTCACTAGGGTCACGGGGGGCTGGAGTCTATCCCAGCTGACTCAGGGTGAAGGCAGGGGACACCCTGGACAGGTCACCAGTCTATCACAGGGTTACACTTAGAGACAGACAACCAAGCACACTCACATTCACACCTACGGACAATTTAGAATCACCAATTAACCTCAACATGTTTCTGGACTGTGTGGGAGGAAGCTGGACGGGGAGAACATGCAAACTCCACGCAGAAAGATCCCGGGTGTCCTCACCGGGATGCTTGCTGTGAGGCAGCAGTGCTAACCACTGAGCCACCTTGCAGCCATAAATATGAACATGAATACAAAAATGCAAACTATGGAAACATCAACATGCACAAGAACCTTCCAGTTTCCCTCCCATATCAGTCTAGTTTAACTCTTCATTAAGTTTTCAATACATATAATTTGAAGCATGTAATGAATAAAGGTTGTAATTTCAGCATCTCTTTGTTCTATTAATGATACAGTTGGAAGCTTCTTACAAGCTTTTTTTCTCCATTTTTATGGCCTATAAAAAAGGTAATTGTCTCTTTCCTCACATGCAAAACATGAGCATGAACAAAAACACAAAAGGTCAAAACATCAAGCTGCACAAGAATCCTCCAGCTTCCTGCACCACTATCAGCCCCTTTTCCCCACAGACTTGAATAGAATTCTTCCTCTGAGCCAGTAGGTTTTTATGAATTGCAAATGTCAACAAACATGCTTAGCATAAATGCCCCCAGCATAATGAATGATATAATGATACGAGTCTGCGTAACCAGAACAAGAATGCGTAACAAGAACGGGCAAATGTCCAGACATGAAAAAACACATTTTTACATTGCAGAGTGCATGAATGAAACATCTGCGGGTGCTTGTTGTGCAGCTATAGAAAGCTAGTAACAAAACAACGCACAATAGGTTCAGACAGAATAGAAAATAAAGGTTATTATTGTGATTTCTGTCATTTTAGCTTCAGAAATGTAAAATTGTAACGAGTCTACAGCCATGGTAGAGGATCTCAAGGCTGCACTTAGCTACAGGTTAAGCTAAATGATAATTTAAGTATTTATTGTGTTGTTTAACAATGTTTCCCATTTTCCTCCCTATTGGATTAACACAACAACATCAACAATGACTCTTCGGTTCTGTCACGCTCCACTAGAAACCTTGACAAGATGGAGGTGAATTAACATTTAACACTCAGATTTTGTTGTTTTTGTTGCCTTCGTTCACTGACTTCCATCAGCTGGACCTGCAGCAGGCCAGTTTATTTGTGTAACTAAATCTGGGTCGTCTGCAGCGGAGGTGTGTGTGTGTGGACGACATCGTGGCCCGGTATAAATAGCCGCCAATTCAAAAGAGTTCGAGAGCAGCTCTTGTTTCACTAGAGATATAAAACCTGTCAGCTTTTCACGACAAATACAGAATGATGAACCCTGTGACTGAAAACTAATTGGGGCACAAAAACCTGATCGAAGGTCTCATCACTGAGCAGATAAAGGCTGTGGGGTTATATGGGGTCACATTGCTCTAAGTAGTTTTACTGGAAGACATAATTTCAATCATGGCAACAGCAATAAGCAAATAAATATACCTTATACAATAAAAAAAAAAAAAAATTATTATTTGTTGTATATAATTGTTTCAAAGGACAGAGGTCACCATTAAATACTTTTACACTGGATTGCATTTTTAGACTTTTAATGTGCTGATTTTACACACAGTTCTCTTTTCAGAGCTCAGTGTTGTAAGGAAGAAGGAATAAGATTAAAATTAATATTGAAAAACTGAAACTTACATTCTTTGCATCAACAGCAAGTTTCTAAACCTTATTAAGTTAAATTACCACTATTTAAAGGAAAAGTTTAAATGAGCTTTCATTTTTTTCCCCCTTTGTACTGTAAAAAAATCAGAATCAATGATATTAAATAAAGTTTTTATAGTACTGACCTCATTTTATTACACAGGATTGATCTTTTTAGTTTTATTTCTCTAATTATCAGAACCTGTAATCATGACTTCAGTTGACTCAGCTGGAAAATTTAGTTCACTTAACTTATTTAATTAAGTCTGTTGGAAACACTGATTTATTTGCATATATTTCCCAGCATGCAATGCATGAATAATAATAAGCACTATTTATGTCAAACAAATCAATACATTAAATCCCCTCTTGTAATACAAAAAACATAAACATTAGAATAAAAACTAAGAATTAAAGAAGTCTAGACTCAATTTTAAACCAAAATTTCACAGATTTCAGTCAAATTTAAGTTGCTATAAAACAAACTTGTAACAAACCAACAAGTAAACAGTCTGAGTTTGACAAACTGAAAGCCTGAACTTAAAAAAAAAAAAAAAGTTCTTTGCTTTGTTGTCTAAACTTTTCCTTTTTGACAGTTAATATTAAAATGCTCCGTTTCTGCTCAGGCTGCACATTAGGAATGAAAATCAAAACAACCTCAACTAACGAACACTGAGGAATGTAAATAGTCCCTGAACATGCCACGGGTTGATATAAATCACTTCCTGCTGCCAAACATTGTCCAGCAGCTCCAGCGGTGCCACCGGACCAGTAAAGACTTCATGTTTTTTAGTAACCAGGCTGTGAGTCAACGAGGAAATGAGAATTGAAGCTGTCTGCTCTTTCTCTTTAATCCAACCTCTCACACTGTGTCCTCTGAATAAATAAAAGGAAACGGTGTCACATCTCTCTGTGAAACCACTCGTTCTCTCTCAAGCACAGAGGGAAATATTAGTAGTAATTCTGCAACATGCTGCTATTTTAATATCATTTGATGGCACAGCTGGCTGTGAAGTCACAGGAATCAGCTGTGATTGTACTCAAATTCACGATGAATGTACTAATGCAACTAGTAGCAAGTACTGTTGAGGATTCACAGTCAAATATTTTACAGAAATGTAATGATTTTGGCGAATACAGCATGAGCGCAAATGCCTTCAAGCATCCATATAGATATATTGCAGAGTAAATTTGGAACCACCGTAAAACTGTACAGAAAATAAAACAGTTAAAAATCATCCTGTCATCCACCTATTGGAACATAATAGGTATGTTCACTAATATATTAGAATTAACAAAATATTGTCAGTGCATCAATGCATTTGGGCCATTTTATGCACTTTTATTCTTACTTTCGATACTTGAAGTACATTTTCTGATGCTACTTTTGCACCAAAGAAGATTGTAATGGAGTATTTTTATCATTTTGTATGAGTACTTTTACATAAAGGAGTCTGAGTACTTCTTGCACCATCAACACTGAACTTACATGGTACACTAGAGTTATAGTCGGAAGAGGAAAAAGCTCTCTTTGATAAGAACTTCCTACACAGAGCCGTCGTGGTCACCCAATTTGCAGGTTCGTGCCGCCTCATTGTTCATCAAATTGGATGTTTAGTGGATTTGTTTTCATGGCAACTGACTAATTAGCTTTAATAATGATGCTTTTTTTGCGGGTTTATACACTGACATGTAAGTGACTGCTGGTCTGACCTCTGTGTTTAAGCCTCTTCGCTTACTTCCTGTTGGAGAGCTGTGCAGTAACCATGGTAACGACAGCGTTCAGCAGTAATTTCCACAAAGTCTTTGCTGACTGCGCCGTTAACCTAAATGCAATCTGCGTGCAAACCACAGTGAACAACCACGTCTCAGCTCCCGCCGTGAAAACGCTCTGACCTCGATAAATCTGTAAATTGCAAAGAGCTTCAAAATGCCCCCATTTAAAGAGAATCTAGAAACAGGCAGCCCACAGAGAAGACAACAACAGAGTCACAACAGAGAACAAATAAAGGCCAAGAGTTGAATAATAAGTAAAATCACTGCATGCTGTGAATGTAATCTTCCTTTACTACCTTAAATGTATTCATATATCTCAATTGGTTGTTTTTTTTTTTTGTTGTTGTTTGTGTTTTCTAAATCCTTTGAATGATGGTTATGCCATTGGTTACCTTGTTTTTTCACTTGGTTTTTTCACCTGTATGAATGTCTGCTTTGTGCAGCACACAGACCTGTACAGGTAAGAGCTGTATATATTATTATATCCTTATCTTTATCCTCCTCATGTATTTCTTGTCTTGTTTCTTACTTTGTTTATCTGTGTGTAGCGGCTGTATCAGGGGTCACTGAAGTTCATTCTGTCTTTATCTTATCCCAACATGTTTTTACACCACAACACACTACTTACTGTGTGGGCTAGATAACCTGCATCACACCTGAAAACATCTTTTTGTTCAGTTTTTGCTACTGAAAGCAGAAGTAAGCAGAAAATCACTGAAACATTAATCAGATAGACATGCTTCTATTGTCTCTTACATGCTGTTTTTTTTAAGTTGGAGAAGGAGGAAGTTGGCAAAACTATGATGCAAGTAAATGTGCCTGCTGGTTTTGAACTTGACATGACAGTGCTATGGGATGAGCAAACTGTGCTCCCTAAAAAACCTGCTATGCATGTACATAAACCCTGGCATGCTGAGGACGAGCTGTTGCTCTGCAGGATACAGCTGTGTCGTTTCAACACCATGTGACTGTGGCTATTTCAACATGCTGGTGAAGCAACTTTGTGTGCATCCTAGTTTTCTAACTTTTGACCTGAAACACACCTGCATCGTAGAAACTGTCCAGCACCGACGTCTCTCCAAAGTCCAGTCTCCCAAAGGTGACGGTGGTGAGCAGCGCGCTCTCCGAGTCGCAGGCTCTCTGCAGACACTGCAGCGCTCCGGACTCCGGGCTGCTCGCCATCACCGACTTCAGCCCGTCGTTCAGGACGTACACGACCCGCAGGGAGCGCTGCTTCGCCGGCGGACTGGGACTGGACACGTCGGCCCTCTCCCGGTCCCGCTCCAGTACGCACACTCCGGCCGAGTGCTCTCCTCCCATGTCGGCGACCTGCGCGCTCTGCCCCGTTTCCATAGCGCAAACCTGGGAAGTGTCTCTGCTGTATTTATCTCCTTCCCTCTCCGCTCGCTGTCCGCCTCTCCACCCTCTTTATTCTGCTGCTCCTCCGTCTCGTCCTCCTCTCGCTCACTCGTGGCGCGCCTGTCGTCGCTGGAGAGGAGCGCGTCTGGGTTTGTCCACCCGCATCTCCGCCTCATTAACTCCCATCATCTGCCGATTATCTCGCACCACGAAGCCCGCTGCACCCAGACTGGATCCGACTAGATCCCCGAGAGACAGAGAGAGAGAGAGAGAGAGTAGCTACCAGAAGTTAAATTAACACTTTTTAGGGTTCCAAAGTCTCCTAAACTGGGAGAGCTCCAATACTAAGCTCATGTCTTGCTCCAAGTCTGAAATGTTATCGCCATGTCTGCAGACGTCTAAATATATAACTGAGTGTCCTTGTGGCCCCCTCCTCTAGTCACTGCGCACAGCAGCCAAGTCATTCTCAGTTATGTTTTCTAACAGCAAAAAAAAAAAAAAAAAGGAACCAGAGGGCTGATTGTGATTTTGTGTTCCTCCTCGTGCGTAATCAAACTTTTATTGCTCTCCGTAGCAGAAGTGGTCACTTTTTCCCACATGTAAAGCTTTCAAAGTTAGAATAGTAGCCCAATAAAGGTGGCATGTCGCAGTTCGCGCACTGATCCTGCAGAGAATTAAGTTCTCTCGGTGTTACGGACGAGTACGCTCCGTTACGCACCGGTGCCACGTGTTAAAACTGGACTGCAGTGACTGCCAGAGGTCATCTTTCACACCCTGACAGACGGAACAGAGGCTACAGATCCATGTGTTCCCAATGGATCTTCCTGGAGAGCCAAGAGGGAAGACCCACATGGCCTTTATTGTCATGTTCATGTTGGTGTAAATCTCTTTTTAAGTGTAGAAACAAGTTGAATATGACACTAGTTTTGCCATGTTATTCATTTTAATTCATCTGTAGCAGGGGTGTCCAATCCTGGTCCTGGAGGGCCACAGTCCTGCATGTTTTAGATGTTTCCCTCTTCCAACACACCTGATTCAAATGATCAGGGTCGTTATCAGGCTTCTGTAGAGCTTGATGATGAGCTGATCATTTGACTCAGGTGTGTTGGAAGAGGGAAACATCTAAAACATGCAGGACTGTGGCCCTCCAGGACCAGGATTGGACACCCCTGATTTCGGGTGTATCACAAAAGCAGAAAAACTAAACGCAGCAAAATCATCTTGAAATTTGTCGTAATCACGTCTCTTTACTTCTGCATTTACTGAATATTTCCCGAAAACAAATGTGCAACGTGATGTGAAGAACTTTGTCAGCAAACAGTTGCTTGTTCACATGTCAGCAGTTTGCAGTGACGGGATCATTTCATTAAAGTTTGTGTCAAATATTTAGTTTCTTTTAGTTCTGTTTTACTGTAATTGGACTGCAGGGAAAAACAGGGAAGACAGAGCGACAACAGTCCCCTGGTAGGCTGGTACTCTGGATGTTGCAGCTTATTTTTTACTTTATCTTTTTTTACATGCTGTTGAAGCATTTGTTAAATGTCTTCTTGCAGGCTGACTGTGGGAGAAAATCATGGTTTTGCATTCCTTGGTGAATACTTGCCACATAGAGCCCCTGTTTTTGAACATCTTCATGTAATACAAACTCTCTGAACCGAAGACATAAAACATCTACCAAGTTGTCTGCACGGCTACTATTGCAGCAACTTATCTAATAATGCTCATAAGTTCTATGAATCCTATGTAACAAAGTTGGTGATTTGATGTAATACTCACATAACAGACATGACAATCTTACTTTCTTACACTCCGGTGCACATTTTCATGGTAGAAAGTATTCTGCGTGTCGGCTGAAGCCAACAGTAACTGAAAAATGTAAGAAACAATAGTGGAGTTCTTTCACCTCTTTACTCCACGTCAAAGTTAACTGTCTTATCAGTAGCACAGTACCTGTTTGGTGGCCTCATGTTTCCTTCACGCCCATTCAACCTTGCTTATCTGAGAGTTTTATGGGTGCACATGTGCCAAATCTAAATTGCTATCCTTGTAACAGGGTTTTTTACAAGCACATACACGTCAGACTCCTTCTTCGTTGATCTATTATTAAGAGAAAGCCACAAACCAGGTTTGGTGTGTTTGTGTATTTGTTATTCACTGTACTCACTAAATGAGGTCACATTCTTTTCAAAACTTGTCCATAATCAGTGGAGTCTCTTTACTCCTCAAAACAAAGGCAGCATGATACTAGAACAGCTCCAGCCTCATTGTAAAAGTATTTGCCTTTTTGTCCTGAACTAAATTTTGACTTAGAGCATTAACAGAAACACTGCCCAAATGATCATTACCAATTTAAATTTCCTTGTAGGAGATCATTAGACACCCTTAGACTGTTCTAAGCAGCTGTGTACGACAACGATGAGTTGGGGAGGAAAGACAGATGAGATGGTGGACAGTATCTTTCCAAGACATACCTGCCAATGCCATGTGTCGACAGATCTCCCCTGATGAAGCAGCAGCCGGCGAGGATCAGCGTTTGTCTTTGCAACACAGACTTCACAGTATAAAAACACCCACGACTCCGTGTCCTCCACCACCTCAACCTAAATAATGCACCCTCTGTGGCTTGCTCTGAGGGTCTTGATGCTGGTGGCCGGTGTGAGGTCCACATGTACCTCAAATCCTCAACCTCATTGAGGTGCAGCATCTCTGGGTTTTACTTCCTTCGTTTAATCAAAGTTTATGAAGTAGAGCTTATTCCTTTATCATTATTTATTTCTATTTGTGTATGTATGTGATTTACTTGTGGCTATTTTTCCCATTAGTGTTTACATAGGTTAATTCAAGAGAAGGTGGTCAAATTCAAAATAGAATTTTTTTTTCCCTTGTCTGTATTGGAAATACATCATTAAAAATAATAATCAATATTGACTGAAGTGACAATTTCTGCTTTATCGTTCAGCCCTACTCAGCTCTAAGTAAAAGGTGTGCAAAAGTGCTTTACTTACTGAAAGGTCATTAGCTAGAACAAACTAAACAGGAACCTTACTAAAACAAGGGCAGCATCTGCATTGGATATTATGTACATGAACATAAAGTCAGATGATCAGTAAAAAAGCTAATAAACTTTATGCTCCATCATTGTTTGCCCAGTTCTCTTGCATAATAGAGCAGCTGACCTTCGCCAACCTGCTGGCAGGTAGATGTTAGCAGCATCGGCTATCTAATGTTAGCTAACTAGCGCCAGGCAAGTTGCAGTCAAGTAGGCAGTTTTGGAAACATTTACTTTAAAAAAATAAAATAAAAATAAAATCGAAATTTAAATATAATTTGGTGCCGTGTTTGCATACATTAATCATGGCTGACTCTCCATCTTCTGTTTTCAAATTAGCGGCTTTATCTTGATGCTCTGTGGTTGATAATCATTACCCAACTTTAGTCCAACTGAAGTGGGCGAGCAAAGGCAAATAAACTGTGTGATAGTTACTTATTACAGCAAACATTAAACCAACTTTCAAAATAGGAGGCAAAAATTAATCTAGGTCATGAAACAGTTTCCTTTTCAAAACCAGATTCAGGACCTACAACAGCTGACATTATACCTTCACAGGTACAAATTCTGAACAGATTTGAAGTTGATGAAGTTATACGGGCAGATTAGGACTTCTCTTTTTGTTCACAAGGATTCTAGTTGACCTTCGAACAGTTAATCACACAGGAGCAGCAGCCCTTTCAATAAACAGTAATAAAAAGTCACAGCATGGATTAAAACGCTCCTCCGTAGAGCAACAAACTCTGCACACATACAGTACATAATAGCATCTTTATTACACTGAAATATAAAAGTATATATATTTATCACTATCCTGGAGAGAAAGGACCAAGTCAAGAAAACAACTTGTAGCCTCAGTTGTAGCAGTTTTCTCGTTGTCGTACGAAAGACAGCAAGAAAAAAGAAAAAGAAAAAGAAAAGAAACAAAGATCTGGAATCAAAAACAGGAAGGCCACAGTGACGGGTTGCCATAGATTCTGTGCACATATAAGGAAGGGAGGCAAACAGCCGTACATGCTGCCACACATACACACACATGCACACTCACATTTTAATCTTCCTTTTACCTGTGAGGACCTTCCGTTGACTACATTCCTCGAAACCCTGTCCTGAATCACCTGCACGTGGATGTCGGTTTGATTTGTAGGATCGTGATGCGGCCAGCACAACTGTTAGCTTTACGGAGTCGTGGAGCAAAAGTGCAAAAAGCAAATACAGATAGAATAATAAGGTCGTCGTACAGAAGGCATTGACTTGATAAACATCATACAAGTGTGTTTGTGCAGAGAGACATATGCTTTTCCTCAGATAAAATGTTAATTTGCAGTCACATATCACAAGGTAGTTTCAGTTTTGTTAAAGAAATAATTTGCCATCAGTGGAAATGTGCTTCTTTTTCTTTTTTTGCTTTCATGAAGAGTTACATGAGCAGATCTCATGTCTGAACAGGAAAAGGAAGCTGGAGCCAGGAGATAGTTAGCTTAGCTTAGCTTAAAGACTGGAAACCAAGGAGAACAGCTAGCCTGGCTCTGTCCAAAAGTTGCAAATGCATTTCATTCACAAAAATAAAAACATGACTTCATCAGAAGTTTTACTAAAAGATAATTATAAGATCCTAACTTTGTAATTATTAAATCATTTACAAAAGACTAATGGGGTAGGACTTGAAACACTTCAGAACTTGCCTAAGAATCATCATCATATGATTCAAAACACACTGATTTTTCTGAATTATCTGATTGTAAGTCAAATTTATGAGATTTTCTGTGCTTATTCTGTGCTTATATAACTTTTAGACCTCACAGTCCGTCCTGTTTGTTTAATCCGTAAAGGGTATCATGTGCTAAAGTCATATTGTAAAACCCCAAATTGTAATTGTTATGCTTTATACAGAATAAACAAACATTGTGCGTTAACTCGGTAGCACTGCACACAGCAATGCCATTGTTTCCAGTCTTTATGCTAAGCTAAGACAAACTGTGGCTGACATGTTTTTCCCTTGATGTACTTCCACTTCTTTAAGTAGCACCTTAAGTGTCAGTACTTATCATGTCGACAATTTTTTTTAGAAAGTTGTTAAGGGGAATCAAGATGTGCTTGCAAGTTTAGCCTCCCCACTGGTGTGACATCTGACTGCAGATTAAAAACACTGAGAGGTCGTTTCCAAGGTTCGGGGAAAACAGTACGTTCCAATACTAGTGCTTCCAAAAATGGCTGATGCTTCAGAATCACCCGCCTGCAGTGTACCATAGAAACATCGAGCACAGTTAGACTTCTGATCGCAATCTTTATCCTCAACCCGGATTATAACCTCAAAGGGGACATATCATGCTTTACGTTGTTTTCAGGTCATTTATATACCGCTACGATGACAGAAGTCGATATTATACATAAGAAGATATACAAAGCTTGAAGGGAATGTATATAAAAAGGCTCCCTGCAATAGTTCATTTGCAATGTTATCTCTATTTCCTCATAAAAGTGACATCACAGCTCACAAACAGCTATTCGTTTCGTAGCGTTCATTGCTAAGTGGGTTGTTAGTGTAGTCCACTAACTTTTCACAAATGGAAGTTGACATCTTCAGCAAAGAATGACAAACTGAAATGAAATCAGACTATCATTGTTCTTTCATCGGGAGGGGGGCTCTTGATGAAAGAAGCTCAAAAGGGGCACTATGAGATAAATAGGAGAGTTTCTTTAACTGTAAATGATGTTAAGATGTGCAAGTAGAGCCCCATTATATTAATATCAACCAGGAAATGTGCATAATATGTCCCCTCTAATCCTGCTGAAGAAGTGAGGATCCAACTAATGTCACAGCTATAGTTGCATTAACACCACAATGCACAGGAACTTTCCAAGGAACTAAAGTTTCCTTCATCTTCTTTTTTTCAACTGCAATCTAACGTCCCATAAAGACTGGGAACATTTTCTAAAAAGCAACAGATGTTTTACTGTTTCTGAGCATGACAACGCAAAAAAGTGCTTAACAAGGCCTGGACTTTGTTGTTTGTCCCTTTGTCATACAATGTCTTCTGTAGCTCCACAAAGTGTGAAAGCATGACGAACAAATATCAGAGTAACTTTCCAGAACCTGAAGAGATTACAACCTACTGAAGCAGTGACTTTTTTTACGGGGTAAAACTATCTTCCTAGATGTTCATTTCGCCACCAACTCCTTCGGTGGAAACCAGGTTCTTCCACCTTGTTTTGTTTTTTTTAGCATACCCAGGTGGATTTTAGAAAGTCAGGTCAGCATTAAAACAAAAGGAAATGTGATTTTTACATATCAAATTACACTTGAATTGGTTTGAAATATGATTCCAATCAAATTTCTACAGATGTGTCTGGGTGCGGACGTTCTTCACCACTTCATAGTGTTTTTTGTGTCACTTAAAATGTGACACAGAACAACGCACTCAAATCCAAAGTAATTGAGGTGTTGAGTCAGTGCTGCTACTAGCTACCCACTGTGGAGGCCAACATGAAGAAGAAAAGTTTGTAGACAGACACCGAAATAAACTGTCTGTTGGCATCGGAAGGATCCAATGCATCACCAGCATACGTAGTTAGTGTTGCCTATGCTGTAGCAACCCATGCAGATAAGTTGGTAAAATCTGGACATACCAATCCAATTAAATGACTACAGGCAGTCTGATTTGCCGTCTGAACAAAGCCTTAGTCTCTGGGAAAGTTCCTGCAGTGCCAGAGCGGTTAATGCGTTTTTATAAAAATGTCGCTATGATGAAGGTCTACACCTACAGTCCCCACATGGATGGAAACAAACACACACACACGCTCACACACAGTTAAGAGGCGAAGGCCGCAGAGTGGACGCAGAACAGCACAGAGGTCGTCTGAACCGACCGGGCTACGTGGGTCAAAGTTTCCTTCACACTCAGAAACATAAAGTACCAGTGAGGTCGCCGCTGCAGCCACGGCTCTGTGTCATCGTTCTGTCACCGTGGCGACGCGTAGCGACGGGCCGTGGTCAGTCAGTACCGGTGGCACAGCAAGCTCCGAAAAGAAAGCAGTAAACTGAACAGAGAAGCCTCGTTAGAAGAAAAAAATAAAGACGTAAACACAGGATAAGGCGGCGTCGGGGGGGAGGGGGAAGGTGGCTGACTCCATGGTGCTGAACTGTTGCTGATCGTGATGATCGTTTGGCACAAACTTTTGTTTTGGCTAAAGTGTCTCGGCCAACAGTGAGAATGTTTTCAAATGATGGCCTCCAATGTGGTGATCAGAGCGTGACGTTAAGGATGCTTCATTTGGACAGGTTCTTCTTTATGTGCTCTACTTCCATCTGTGGAACAACACGGACACACTGTCAGCTGATATACTGTACACACACAAATATGAATATGGTAATATGTAATATTAGCTTTCCTACAGTTGGAATCAAATATATTTTTAGCAAAGTAAGAAGAAGTAAAAAAATGATGTACTTAAGTGCAACCTAATGGTGCCTTAACATAGCAAGTTAAGCTAAGCTAAGTCACATTATGCAGTGGGGAAAGTTGCATTGTTATAGCTGCAAAGGGGATGGTGCAAAAATGTAGAGATATCAGTAGCAAAATTAAAAATAAACAATAAATATAAGTGAGCACTGTTTATATTGTGTAGAATTATCAGTATGTACAAATTTAGATATCCTGTGTGTGTGTGGAAACTGACAACACAGCACAGGGTCATTCTATATTAAGAAAATTTGGTTTTGCAGATTCATCCTCAAGTGGAAAAGCACTGATATTACATTACTGATAGTGCAAAGATTCTATTTATATGACACAGATTATTCCATGAGGAGGAAACAATGACATTGCAGAGCTCTTCTATACTTAGAACAAACTGATGCTGTACAGAGTAAAAGTATTCCTGCACGAATGACATAACAGTGAAGTAAAATGTGAAAATATCACATTAAGTATCATTAGTATTAGCATTTTGAAGTATACAAAACTATTCTTACATTATTAAGGTTTTTGTTTTTAACCAGGGTTTCCACTCGTTGTCGTTAGTTTGTGAACCTGCTTTGATTTACTTTGGGTTATTCCCTAAACACACCTCTGCTCTCTTCACTCCTTTATGGTCTCACCTGTAAACTAAGACGAATCTTCTTCTCCTCATCCAGCGCGCTGGCCAACTGCTTCATTTCCTGCCTGAAATAAATCAACACAAACAGTTCAGTATGCACACTACACAAAGCTACGCTCCATGTGGGCGTATAAAGCCTGCTCTTACCTGTGCTGGCTCTTCAGCAGGTCTATGGAGGCCCTCAGGTCTCTCAGCTGGTTCCTGAGTTCCTCCAGCGTTGGGGGGGTCAGCGGCGAGTGCCGGAGCTCGGGGGAGGGGCTCAGACCCGATGAGGAAGACGGGGAGGTGGGGCGGTGGCTGGCGTGTGGTGGTGCCAGGACAGAGGGCTTGGCGGGCAGTGGTGCTTTACTGTCATGTGCCTAACACACAAAAACACACATGTGAAGCATTTATTATCATGTTGTCCACTCATATGCAAAATCCAATCTAGTATTTTGCTTGTTTAATGAATCTAAACAGGAAAATTACAGCAAAAATGACACAAAAGGAGTAAAAAACACAGTGGTAATGTTTTATCAGCTCTTGTTTTAAGCTCAGGATGAACTTTTTGTCTTATTTTGAAGCACTTTGCTACAGAAGCAGCAAAAGTCTGTAATTTCAGGCAAAGTTCTCTGTGTTCAGTCAACTGGTGTGATACATCCGAACATTGTGGACCTGGAGATTGTTTGGCAACTTTCCAGGCATTAAGTTTTTTCCTTGCATTCAGCCTGAAATACACAAACTTATTCACACAACTCTAAACATTAATTGTCGTTTTGTTATCTGTTAACACTCTCTGACATCCAACAGCTTTAACTTGGCTCAGAAGCATGAACCCGTGTAGTCTGGCGCTCTCTGCTGGATGACATGAATAGTGAATGTAGGTCGTACAGGGATGGTGGGAACTCCTTTCCTCACAGAAACGTCTACAGATCTGGTGGGGACGGACTCATGCTCGTCCTTCCCTCGGTCCTTCTCCTTCCTTTCCTCCACTATAGGCAAGTCCAGGTCGGTACCGGACAAAGAAGACTGAAAAACAGAGAAATGTGGTTAGAAGTGACCTTGCTGGTCCTATTTATGCAGTCTCCCCGGATAAACAAAACATCCAACCAAACTGAAGGTTTTCACTGATTACTAACCATTAAAAACAAACATAGTTCTCTCCAAAAGGTAAAAAGTGCCTACAAGCACCTCCAAAAATAAGCAATTAAAAGTGTTTAACAGCGTTTGTTTAAACTCCACTTGCATACATTCTACGTCAGTCTAAAAAGCATAAACTTTTGCAAACATTTTAGATATTTTTCTTGCAAAATCTTGATTTTGTAAAGTCACTAAAGCTGTTAAATTAATGCAGTACAGTAAAAAAGCCCATGTTTAATTACTGGGGTCATTAGTTTCCTTTTCCTGCTGCCAGTGATCCCAACCATATAAAAAAAATTACAAACTCATTATTCTCAGATATAAGCAAGTAACTGTTATGTTTTTCCAGCACAACCTCTGAACATGTGTGCTCCTATAGTTTCTATGTGATCATAAAAAGTAAAACTTAATCTGATTGTATAATTTTTTTTTATCATTTTTTCAGCTCTTAAATAATTCTGTATACAGGATTGACTTCTTCAAATGTGTCATTGAAGCCTGTAGAAAGTTAAAATGTTATATTCTGCTCATTTAATCTGTCAAAGACATGGTGTCTGACTGATACGAGGGTGCGATTTGATCAGAATCTCCACAAGAGATTGAAATAAAGCACATTTCAAAACGTCAAACTGCTGCTTTGATACTAAAATGTTGGCATCAACAGCAGAGCGTGGGCAGGGTTTATGACCTACACCATAACCAGCCACCAGGGGGCAATATAGATCATTTAATTTCCTTTCTGAGGAGATGCACAGTTTTATGAACCTTCCAGACAGGTTTACTGCAAACACACTCACCGGTGTGATGATCTGCGAGCGAGGTCGGCGGTCTGTGACTCTGGGCCGCGACACCGTCGGATGACTCAGCTTCTCTGTAGACGAGACAACTGCATCCAGGTCCACGTCTGCACAGAAACATACAAGAAAAAAAACCACACACGTTTCACACTCGCGTAAAAACAAGAGACAGCGCTCTGACACAGCATCTCATTGGTCGATGCTCCTGTTTGTCAGACTCACCGGTGTCATGTGACCTGTCAGGGGCAGAATCTGGTGTCGAAGCCCCACCCTCAGACTTGGGGCTTTCACACCTGAGCAGGTAAACCATACAACATACATTAGGCTCGATGCGCTCAGGGAAACGTGTGTTTTCGGGAATATGTGTGTGTTTGTTGTGTGTGTGTACTGACGCTAGTGTGGGCGGTCTCTCGGGACGCCGCGGGGGTTGGGAGGAAGAGGAGGAGCTCGACTTTGGGGGGAGGGGTTTCTTGGGAAGGAGAGTTGGGAGGGAGGGCTTGGGGATGTCTCCGACCTTCACCTCCTCGCCTACACACAGGTACATACACACAAATACATCATACAACCAAACAGAAACACAACAACACGGAACACACATGCAGAGGGGCGACTCAAACACAGGAGGCCAAGAGAAAGAAGCGGAGCTGCAGCAGCAAAAAATAAACTAAATGTGACCTTTAAAAGAGTAAAGAGATGAAGAGAAAAGGTCTAAAGATGCTGAGGGCTGCAGGGAAAAAAAGGAAAAAAGTGAGGCATGGATCACAAAGAGGATTAAGAAGATCAGACGTCAAGGTGGTGGCAGCAGTATTTAGGAGAGATTAGATTTTTTTATTGAAACACGAGGCGAGTAATACAGTCTGCCAGTTTGTCTGCTTTTAAACATCAAAGGCGAGAAAATCCTGAATGCTGCTTCATGTTTCATCAAACCAGAGGAGTGATCTCACCCCAGTGGTGGATTTAGACTTGTTTTGAAAGATTAAAGGTCCCCTCGGGTCTGCGTTTAGACATTTAATGTTCCTCTAAATTGAGTCTCTTGTGGTTTTTACACAAGAAAAAGTTAATTTAATTACTTAGAAATTCTTTAAAGCAACATGGACTTCAAATTCATGACCTTGTAGTTTTTTTATTTTATTTTATTTTGAACAGTAAATGTATAAAAATGAAAGATCCCCGTACATTTAATCTTCCTCAAACTTGTCTCTCTTGTGGTTTTTCAACTAAAAAGTTCACATTATTAGTTTGAAAAAAATTCTTAAAAGCAGCATTCGTCTTTTCCCCTGTTGCTGGAAAATCCTCTAAATGTTTTGCATTTTGAACCGCAGATGTTCAAACTTGTTTTAACTTTTCTGACTCCCCCACTCTTCTGGAGTGAAACCATCTAAAACGACAGACCGTCACTAAAATAGCTCCGCACGTCAAAAAGAAAACCTCCTGAAGTTTCTCGTGAAAGTTTCAGAAAACCTGGAGGTGATACGAGAACAGAGAAGGGAGTCTTTGAAGTCGGCAAAAACTGAAGATTTCTTAGTATAAATAATTCACATTCGAACTCTGTGATCGAACTTCTCTTGTGCGAAATACATAAGTGGCGAAACTAAAATAAGAGGAGGGAAGGAGGCCGGTAGTTTATGGGATTAAGATGCTTGATTGGCATCCAAAATATTTGCAAGTATTCCCAAATCGTGCTTATCTAGTCTCTTTTAAACACATCTGTGTGACATGTTATTCACCATGTTATTCTTTACAGTGCAGCTTTCACCTCCCAAAGTCTGTTTCTTTACATCCTATTTATTCCGTTCATCTCACATGGGGTCACACCTACAGCCAATCAGAGAGCTAACTAACAAATTAATTGCACTAATGTACATATACCTTTTTCTACTAGATGTGTAAATTCTTGTATTAATTTTGTCTTATTATCTTGTTTTATTTTTTATTAATATTTATTGTATTTTATTCTTTTCTTTCTTTAGTTATTTTACTTTATTTTATTTTTTAATTTTACTATTTCTATCATTCGTGCAAATTCCAAGGGCGACACTAACAGCCGAAACCAAATTCCTTGTATGTTGTGTACGTACTTGGCCATTAAAGCTGATTCTGATTCTGATTACGTTGCGTCTTTACAGTGAAGTGAAGCTGCCACTGGAGGCGTCGGATTGTATTTATCAGGCTATGAATTGAAGATGAAGAACCTGCTGTTGCACAGTTGAGACTTCAGCAGGATGGAAGATCATGTTCAGGTTTTCATGCGTAGTGCTGGACAGGGGGCGGACTCATGCTTCCCTGAATATTTCTGATGCAGCAGTATTTACCACCACATTACTGCTTGTTTTTAAGGTGCAAATGACAGAATTTTAGAGAACTTGCAAAGATGAAGGAGACAGAATATTGTTGTTTTGCCATCATCCTCCCAGTCTATCCGCTTTGAAACTAACTTGACTGTGAAACTTTCATCCTTCAACAGGTGACTGAACAAACAGCCTTCTGGTGTCAAACTCTGCATGGACAATCTAACCAGCAAACAGTGAATTCATATATTCTTATATCATTGTTTAAGTTTTTCAATCTACCATAATGCTATGAACCAACCACGAGCCGTGTCCCTTATTAAACTTTGAAAAGAATAAACTTATTTTTCAGTGGATGCGTCCCAGGATGAGGATTATTTCTGTGGAAGCCAGTTTTACTGACGACAATCAGCATTTCCGCAAATGCGACTTGTTATAAATAAAACTGCAGCTCAGACGCTTTAGAAAAGTGGATTAATTGGTAGAAACTCTAATTAACATGAGCGCTTTCTGACTCACTGAGATTGCAGCGGATGTGTGGTTCATTTATAGATAATTGCTGTGCATTTAAAATCCTCGATTTCACTTTATTATATTTATGTATGACACCATTTTGGACCTTTTTAAACTCATGATTTATCAAAACTTACCTCGAAAGCCTATAGTTTAATTTTATATCGTCTTTTTTTTTTAGTCTCTCTTTTTGCTTTTACTTTCTGTTTGTTTTTCTTCTAAACCTTTGTTTGATTTCCTTAATGGCAACCACAAGAAAAAAGCGACTTGCTTTGTGCTACTGTGATATAAAGAGGCCATTGTGGAGACGACTGCAAGCGCCTGTCTTGCACCAGCAGTAACGGTGGTACCAGCGTTCGTCGAGATTAAAACCGCAGCGCCTGTAGCTTCCTGCTGGGCCACTGAAGTCGATGCACTTCAATCAAAGCTCTGTTATTTAGCCCAACAAAGGAGAAGAAAGATGTCGCAAGTCGTGTTCCTTCTGCTCGTGTTTCAACATCTGCCCTTGACAGAAACCTGCTGTATTGTCTGCCTTCGTCCTGCGCAGGAACAGAGCAGATTTAAAGCTGGGTTATGATTATTGTGTCCTTACTAAGCGTGTTAGTGGGTGATCTGTCCTCTGCCAGCTGAACAGATCAGCAGAAAAGTCGAGAGAGGCCGAGCAGAGCCGAAGCGGACTTTTACCTCGATCCTGGTCTCTCTGGGGAAGATGTTCAGGCCGCTCGGGAGGAACCTTCTTGAGCTCTGGCTTTTTGTCTACAGGTCAGAGTTCACAGGTTTCTATTTTTTGACTCGACTAGCCTCTCTTTTTCTCACACGACCTACAAACACAGACGTGACGCGAGCCGTTACCTGTGGTGTGTTTTGCCGACGGTGCGCTGGGAGGAGGTGGTTTCTTTGGTCTCTGAAAAAAAGAGATGCAGAAATGTCACTGAAACCGCTTTGAGAACGTCTCCAAACACCAACGTAAACACTTCTTGCATGTGTGTGTGCAGAGATGCAGCAGTCACCTCTTTCTCGACTTCTAGCAGCTTGACAAAGTTATCTGGGAAGACGCCTTGCCTTCCTCCGATCTCCCCCATCCACCAGCCGGCGTCGGCACACTCCTGGAGACAGAAAAGCATTTGATCAGTGCGTTTAGTGCAAAAGACGAAAACCTACACGAAGCAGACGCGCTCACCTTGGTGATGATGTTGATGATCTCCCCCTCTTTGATCGACAGCTCGTCTTCATTTTGTGCTTCGTACGGAAAGAGGACTTTGCACTGCTCCCGTCCTGACAGTCCAACAAAACAGAGTCAGACAAACCCCCCGATGTACAAAACCGCAGCTCAAAAGAGAGAAATAAGAGACTGTAGAGGCGCGAATCTAAAGTTTAAAGAGAGGTTTGAACAGATTTGCAAAAAGGCGACACCTCAGCGTGATCACAAGCATCTTACAATAAGCTCAGAAAACATTCCACGACAAAAAGTGACTAAAAACAAAGAGAAAAGTCCCAAAAGTGAAGTAAAACTAAAGAAAGATTTAATTTGTGGGGGGGGAATCTAAATACTAGAAAATGAATACATTTTTGCACAAACTTCTGCATAATTTTTTATTTTTAATCAGATTTTTTGCATATTTTTCACAATAATGGCTGCTGAATATGTGGATTTTTTCTTTAAAATAAAATGATAAATATAAAAAAAATAAAAATACTGATCCCCAAAGTGGTGTCTGAAGGGACAGAATGAGATATGGCACTGTTAATAATTTAAAATCATAATTCAGAAAGCCTTCAATTTCATTGTAAGCTCTGCGTACAAAGAAATTTGCAGTGTTACTCCTTTTGGCACATAAAAAAATGAATATATTAAAACATAAAACACAGAAAATCAAACAATAAGATAAATATAACATTGATATAAAAACACTAAATATAAATATGACTGCAGATGAGGCACTTTATGTTCATGTGATGTTGTGCAGTTTCAACTGTAATAATAAATATAATAAATCAAATCAGGTTTATTGTCATTTTGCTGCAGTACAGGCAAGATGAAGGAGCGTTTATTCAGGATCCAATAACTTGAAGCAATTTGAATAAAGCAGTGTTTGCATATCTGAATCAGCAGATCAGAAATGTCACTAATATTATAAATAACAAATATAAAAGCTCATTAAATCACTCCCTCGTGACACATTCCCATTACTAGCGTTGTGGTCACTAATTATGGGAAGAACTGATAAAATTCACATTTTTTAATCTAGAAAAATCTCCTCGTTTGTCCTCTCCAGTGTTTTCCATTTCTCATGAACCTGAACATCAAGAACGCCTTTTCAAAGCAGCAACGTTCTGATGCTGCGATAAGAAACAATACTGTATTAGAATGAAAGGAAACCCGCATTAGAAAGGAAGGAAATCATGACCAGTAGATTAAAGCTAATACTCCCAGAGCTGCTGTTTCTCGTGTAGCTGTTTACGAGCTGGGTTTTTGTTTTTTCTGCAGCAGAGCCTCAGAGTCTCACCTTTGGTTTTGCCGTCGGGTTCAGTCTTCATGCTTTCAGCTGCAGCGCTCGCCGGTTTCCCCTCGTTGACCTGAGTGACGGGCAGGAGACAGAAAACTTTCAGTTTCAGGTGTCTGCCCACGCACAGCACATAACTTATTTATTTTATTTTTTTGCTAAGCTGATGTGGTTTGGGACTTCCTGTGCTTATTGTACCATCAACCTCTCTGGAGAGTGTAGTGACCTGATTTGATTTAGCTGCAGTCGGTGAGGAGATGGAGAGAGCACATGTGTTTGTTCATTTCTACTGGTTAAATGGGCTTTTTTTAAAGATATATTTTAGTGATTTACTTCTGTTGTCTTTTGTCTTATTAGTAAAATCGTTGTAGAACACTTAAATAACTGTGTTGTTTGAACATTTCAGTCTATTATCTTTGCTTATGGTTGGTCTGCATTCAGCTACAATCAGAAGACAATCAAGATAAAATGCACTCTTACAGGGATATAGTCCATCCAGCCATGCACGAGCACAGTCATATAGTCAGTCCATATCAACATCTGGTGCTCACCAGGCTGCGACACTGCTGTCTGGAATCCATGCACCTATTTAGCTGTTTGTACTAATTAAACACACGTGAGTTTTATTGTCACTGAAAGCTAATGATAATAATACTCGTAATGAAAAACGTCTAGTGTCTCTGTGAGGCTTTACTTCTTTTTTTGGACTGAAAAGACAAAAACTTTTTGCTTGATTGGCTTAAAATAGTGTTTGTGGTTCTCGAGAAAACAGGAAAAGAAACTAGCAGCAGAAGTACTCAGATCCTTTACTAGTCTGGACTGGTTTAGATGTAGTTTTATAAACAAGGACAGCAGATAAACGTGAATAAATCTGAGGTGTGGTCACGTGATTACCAGGAGACAAAAGACATCAAGGCATTCAAACCTGCATGGTATGAATGTATTAATATTGTGTACATTTAAAAAGTCACGGTAGAATATTATCTGTTTCCCTACATATAGAACAATATGTGCAATATCAGTGTTTCCTACATACAGAACAATCCTGTGCAATAACTGAGCAAACGATTTATGCAACATCCACAGTACTTTTTTTCTTGTTTATTTACCGTAAATTCCAGACTATAAGCCGCTACTTCTTTCACATGCTTTGAACACTGCGGCTTAAACAATGATGCAGCTAATTTATGGATTTTTACGAATTTGCCTTGAGATGAAAGTGACATTGAGAGAGACTGAGGAAGTGTGTGACGAAGTAATTTTGAGGCTGTTCAATTCCGACACTGAGGAAGACTTTAGTGGTTTTAGTGTGCAGGAGGAAGATGAAGATAGCGATCAATGACTATTCCTGGTAGGCGACTGTATTTTTTATTTTTTTTAACCAGCCATGTTACAGGCACTGTTCAGAAAAAAAAACAAAACATTTATGGTATGTATTTGTGTATGTTACCGGTACGTATTTAATCAAAAGTTTAAAAAATCTTTCTGTGTAAATATCTCGTGTTACAACGTGGACACCTGCAGCTTATAGACAAGTGCGGCCTATATATGTACAACACTTTCTTTCTTTTAAAAGTTAGTGGGTGTGGCTTATATTCAGGTGCACTCGTAATATAATAATTACGGTAGATGTTTTCTAATAGATGTTTGCTGCTGTGACATTACAACTGTCCCTGCTGTGGGATAAATAAAGGCGTATCTTTAACATCTGGCATATTTCCTACTTGATCAAAGCTGATAATATGCTTCAACAATACATTGCATATTAAAAATCAAAGAAAAGATCAGAACGAGGCAAACAAAACAGTGGAAAAATGAACAAAAATTCAAAAAAAGGACAGGTAAAACGCTGAAAAACCAAAGTGAACAATAAATTGAAACAATCCCTTTTCTCCTGTGAATAATGCGAGCAGCTAATAAGAGAGGCTGAGATCAGATTTAGCACAAAAACAAGTTGCCGATGAGGTGGGTGTGTGCTGCAGCGTGTGGGTGAGCTGTTAAAGCGCCCGTTGTTTCCCGGCTGGAGTGGATCCCTCGGCGGTGTTTGTGGAACCAGGGTGGCTCTTCCACAGGAAAACACACTCGCACACATTCGCACACTCTCCAGTCTGTCCGAAACACACACACACACACACACACACACAAGGTCTGTTCTGTTCGGCCCGGGAGAAACCACACCCCTGCCCTCCCTCCCCGTCTCTCTCCACTCCCTCCCTAATGAGACCCACGTGGAGCCACAGCCATGGAGACATCATTACAGCGTCCCGGAGACGGCTGCATGTCCAGCTATCGTAGGGCTAACTGGGGCCAGCAGGGAAGCAGCAGTGGGACTCTCTGAAGGCCAGCGGTGACACGGCTGTGACAGTTTTAAAAATAAAACTGCGTCAGTGCTGGAAAAACCTCACACGACCTTGCTTTTGACTGCTGCCAACACACTGGAATTATTAAAATCCATGGCACATGTGGTTTCTTGTTGCAGAAATACAACTCTACACACACACAAACCCATCCAGCTTTCTTTATACTACATTGCAAACAATCTGGGCATTAAATTCAAGATAAAATACGAGGTACAATAAAATGTCAAGTCTCAGCTCCAGTTTGAGCAGGTTTACATCACTATAGAAGGACTCTACGAAAGATACAACTCCTATAGTTTAACCCATCCAACCTTCTACATACAGCAGCAGCACATTATTGGACCCACTGTGACGATTATACTTTCTTTTTTGCCGAAAACAAATGCGATTTTAAGGGTCTGGGGCAGTTGTGGCTCAGGTGGTAGAGCAGGTTGTCCACTGATGGCAAGGTTGGTGGTTCGATTCCCGGTCCCCCCCACATGTCGAAGTGTCCTTGGGCAAGACACTGAAACCCAAGCTGCTCCCAAAGGCAGATTAGCGCCTTGCATGGCAGCTCTGTCGCCATTGGTGTGTGAATGGGTGAATGAGAAACACCTTGTAAAGCACCTTAGGTACTGCTAAGGTTGAAAAAGGCGCGATGTAAGTACAGACCATTTAAACATGCTTAAGAACTAAATTTTGTCCACACATCAGGACTGGTGAAAAATCAATCATTTGAAAGGAACTGGACATGTCAATGGCAAAAACAGCGCCTCCTAGAACATTTCCACGGAGTCCTGTTTGGCCTACACCTACAAAATTTAGTAGGCACATGTAACACGTCAGGACACACAAAAAAGTCTGGGGTGTCCACATCCTACATCCAACAGGAAGTCCGCCATTTTGGAAAAACGGCCAGAATTTTGGCGACTGTCCTTCATTTTTGGCCATTTTCAAAATCTCCTCCTAGAGGGAATGTTGTACACACCTGAAATTTGGCCAGTGCTAACTACAGGACATGGTGATAAAAGTTATTGAAACGCTCCGCAAAAGTCTGATGTCGTCAAAATGGCAACCCAAGGAATTTCAGTGAAATGCCATATAACGGTACATGCTGTGTAACTGGCATGTATGTGCTCCCATCTGTCCAAAACTCGACATGCCAGATCAGAGTCCCACCCGGAGCTTGTTTGTGCCACACCCCAATGTGCAGGACGGCCGACAATTGTAAGGCGAGGACCTGACCGTCGGTGCTTGCAGCTTTGATTCTAGTCATATTTCAACACAAATACATGCAAACCACAACAAACTCATTAATTAGCCACAGCCAGACCTCTACAGAGCAACAAAGAGGCACAGGTTTCCACATTTCAATAAAACCACCAAACTGACCATGTAATGCAAAAGCTAGCCCTTCCAGTAAGGAAATATTACAAACATGCGCTACAGTTTAGATGCTATGTGATGCTCCAGTGACCTTCAAGCTGCATTTACTGTAAATCCAGCTCCTCCACCTGCAGAGCGAGGCGCAAACAGCGGCAGAAAAGTCAGACAAGAGGACACACGATGCATTGTGTCACAAGAGTCTGCAAGGAAAGCAAACGTCACCTACCTGAGGAAGGTGATGCTTTCAGATTGGGTTGTGGTTTCTACTTTCATAAACGCAAACCCAAGTAATTAACAGTTGTGTAAAAGGACAACATGATAAGTGGTTAAAAAGACCACTCTCATGTCTTTATTGTGAATATGAAGCTACAGCGAGTGAGCCAATTAGCTTAGCTTAGCATGAAACAGGTAAACTTGCAACTTCAGGTCATTCTGCAGTACAGAATGTTCTGGCTGCACTTTATCATTACACTACAGAGGAAATAAAAATATTGTTCTGTCTTGTTTGGATATGTTCAAGCTAATCACGACTGGGCCAAGCCAAGCCCGGGATGCAGGGCCTTGTTCCCTCAAAATGGTGTCAGGTGGAATTGTTTGGTTGGAACATTTGGTTATGGTTATTGGTTAAAAATGGTTAATTTAAAACATTAGCAGGACTGTCCAACTGCATGATCCAAACTGAAAAAACTTTTTTATTACAGGTTGCTGCCAGAAGGTGGTTGTTGTTGTTTCACGTAGCGAAGGGGATTTTGAAAACGCCAACATGCAGATAAGAGAAGAAGATGAAAATGCCATGTGAAACGCAGACTTACATCTGCAGCCTACGTCCAGTGAGTCAGAGGAGACAGGTGCGAACCTCTAAACCGGCGCCGTCTCAGGCTAAAGATCACGAATTAACACGTTTTTCTTTGTTTAATCCGGACAAAAACTGAACTTTAAACAAAAACAGGCTGTGGTTCTACATGCTGGATAATGGCCTGGCTTGCTCTTCATGCTATGCAAACCTATGCTAAGCTAGGCGCCTGCAAGCTGTGGCTTCTTTACTCCAGTACAGACATCAAAAGGGGTCTTTTTATCAGAGGCTGGAAGTTTGCTTCTCCAGGCAGCATGTAAGCAAATATAAAGACATGTTTCTTGTATGTTTGTATGATTTGCCTGAACCGTTTACAAGGAAGCAGCGTCACATTTAGCAGAAGATGCCACCTTTTAACACCGAGGCCAGAGTGTAGGAGGTCAGCATTGCGGAAATCTTTTGCAATTCAGGACTCTACATAGTTTTTAGCCAATAGATTACAGCTGAAGTCTGTTGGTTCGTTGTCTCCACAGCATCTAAACTCATAATAATATCTGAGCCACGTCGGAGCTCTTCCATGCATGAAATGGAACAATAAACATTCGCAATTTCGATTCTATGTGTTAACAAGGCCACATCTCTCACACAGCTCTTTCTATATTAATGCAGGGCTATTAAAATGAAACTTCCGTTATTTCACCGCAAACTCATTGAGCTCAGAGGCTGAAGTACAAAACCAGCGTACTGCATCGCCGTGCACCCTTCAGCCACCTCCTTTTGTAATAAATCTATGACTACTCTCCATATCCAATGCTTATTTTCTGCTGACAGACACTTGAAACGAGCAAAACCTCCACGTTTTTATGAATTTATTCAGCATGTTTTCATGAGTTCTTCATCACGAGTTGCGCGTCCCTAATCGAGGTGGATAATGAGTCAGTTCTCCTCATGAAATTACTCCTTTTTTAACTGTACTACTCAGCTGACCTCAAGCCTGAGTGACTCTGAGTCACCGCAAACTTTTTTTTTTTTTCTCTCCAAGGAAACACTTCTCTTTTTGCTGAAATCAAAGGTGAATACTTTCAGACTCTCAGCCTTAAGCTGGTGTTCAGTCGCCATGTGCAGCGAAGCCCATGTGCCAGCGTCCGACCCTCCACTTGGGATATAAAGCCGACGTGGCTCCGTGTGACTCAGCCGGATGGTAGAAGCTCTCCTGTCACCTCCTCCGGAGCCTCATTAGGGAGCAGAGAGAGTCTCGTCTCACCATAAAGCAGCATAACAGCCTCCCACTCAGCAGGACAGGCAGACAAACATCCTTCAGACGCACTCAGGAGCTACAGGAGGCTTTTGACAACCAGGACAGGCTTTTAAACACTCTCTTTAAATGCAGGTTTATGCCTTTTTTTTCTTTTTACTTTATTTTCTATATCTCCACTTGTTGTGCACTGCTGCATCTGACATTTAGCGGCGTTTCGGAAGTGTCGTGGTTTCGCTTTAGGGCTGGTAGTCTACTCAGAAGGTGACGTGAGAGTTCGGTGAACTCAGACTTTACTGATATTTCATGCAGGAAGCAGGAAAAAAAATAAGAAAAATACTGTTAGGTTTCTTGATGGTAAAAATGTGCTTTCAGGAGCTTTTTTAATGATTTTGGAGGAAACATGAAATACTTTTTGATAAATTTTGGATATCAAAAGAGCCCTAAACCGCATTTCTGGTGACTTTTGGCACTTTTCAGATAAAGATCTAAAGATTTGGGTGACACAGATGAGAAAATCTGCACCACAGGAAACCACAATGAGTAAGAAAATGGGTGAATTTACCCTTTAACGCCACAAACTTAAACAGGAAGATCAAAAAATGCATCGATGGTGGTTAAAAACAGCACCTGAGATGGTATTTTGACTATTACCAGCTCACATCAAATATTTAAATTGCTTGCTTCAGCCTGCTTCAGTCCTTCTCAGTAGCTCCTTTGTAAATTTCATAAACCACCAAACTTGCCTGTCATAATGCCAACATATCAGACAGCACTGCCCCTCAAACCTGTGTCCTAAAATGGCGTTTTCTGCATTTTAAATAGGAACTCTTTGTTAAATAAAAAGCAACCTGCTACCCAAAATCACAACCACCACCCCTCAAACACTCACGCACTCGGAAACCTAATTTCCAGCAAAAGAAAAGAAGCAAAGAAGCCGAAATGAAAAGGAGGCAAAAGCAGCAGAGAAAACTTGACCCTACCGTCCTCTCCCGTGTGCTGCCAGCTGAAACTCAGACGGAGCTTTGCTGCATCAGCGAGGCGGCAGCAGAATATGTGAGTGTGTGGACGTCAGTGAAAAGCTGTATTACCTCCCCTCCTCTCCCTCCTCTCCCTCCCTCCCTCCCTCCGTCTCTCTCTCTCACTTCTGCTTTGCATGTCGGATCCCTGCAGGATGTGTGTCTTTGTGTGTGTGCGTGAACATAAAACCGCTTCCTGTACTGTAAAACTGAAACAGAGGAAGAGGAGGAGCCACGGCTGGAGGCTTCCTTCCCTCGCTGCTCACAATACCGTGATCACAGTATCAAAAAATGCACAGAGAAGGAAAGAAAGAGTGTGTGTGTGTGTGTGTGTGTGAGTGTGTGTGTGTGTGAATTATTCATGTTCTGGGGACACTTGTGGAGACTCAAGTCCCCATAGAGGAAATCACTACATGTTGTTGTTGACTGCTCGGTTTCCGTCTCCAGGGAGATAATGTGAGTCAATGCAATGTCTTCCGGGTGTGTTTGACTCACTTTGTCCCCCTCTGAGTCCACGTCCATGGAGCGAGGCCTGAGCTTGATGGGCTGGTCTTTGAAGATGTCACCGAAGCCAAAACCTCGAACCTAAAGGGTGGATCAAAGAGGCAAAGTGGCATGTAGCGTGATTCTTTCTTTTTTAAAGGAAAAATCCACTCAAACAGGCTTAAAACATCACCCTGTTAAGTATGTAGCTTAATTTCTTGTTTGTATAAGACGCTAGCCTAAACCAGAGTCACCACTGCTGCATGTTTACCTCCTACACTGCAAATAATCTGGGACTTACCAAGATTTAAAATTTAATTTTTTAGATAATTTGGCTTGTTTTAAAAGTTATTTACTCGTTTTTTGTCCTTGATTTTACAGTACAATCTTAAATTGAGCATTAAAAATATTATTTCAAGATTTCTTATCAAGTAAAATTTACATGGACAGATAGTTTCACTAGTTTTAAGTCATTTTCTTTTCAAATTTAGTGTTTATATCTTATATTTATATCACCTTTTTTGCAGTGTACTCCTCATGTTGTTGCCAAAATATGGCTAAATGCACAGCTTACATTTCTCCCTGGATTGTTATTGACTGGACATGAATCACTGCTAGCTCGGTTTCATCTACTTTGTCAGTCAAATCTGGAAGCACTGAGGTTCACAGGGTCAGCTCCAGCTAATAACTCATTCTGAATACTTACAGTCGTCCTCAAATGAATTCCCACCCTTCCATTAAAGAATAGACAAAATTCACAATAGTCACTCACATAACTAGAAACTGGAAAAAAGTAATAATAAATAAAAATTTGTTTAATTATAATTTAGTGAAACAAGACATTGCTTTGCAATTTTCGGTGAAAAGAATAATTTAAAAAAAAACAAAAAAAACTGTCAAATTAGAGCACTTTGCTGGTGAGCAGTGAGCCAGAATACCTGTCAACAGGTGCTGATTGAGAGTTATTTTTTAAAATATTTCAGTTGAACCACAATTCAAAAGCAGTCGTGATGTCCACTGAATTTTTATTAATTAATACTTTTGTCAATTTTAATTTATTTCAGTTTTTTTTTTCTTCTTTAACAGGAGGGTATGAATAAATTTGGACGGCTGTAAGAGACTCTCAGACTTTTGGTGGGATCATTCTTGTCTGAAGATGGCCTGAAACATTGCATAGAAAACACAATTTGCTGTCTTAGTATGTTAAAAAAAAAAAAAGAAAAGGCCCAGTTTTACTCCATTTCTGTCCACAAAGTGCAGCTTGTTCTGCAGCTTCTTTGTCTTGAGGTTTATTATTGTAGTGAAAGTAGTGTGGAGGAGTCAGAGTGGGAGGCTCAACCTTCAGCTATCAGGTGCTTCTCCTGTGACACCAACTCAGGAGGAAGAGGAGGCTTAAACTTTACAATTTGATGAATCTTATAGTTAGTTATGCAGCTACAGGTCTAAGCTGCTGGGGGACTTCCAATGCTACCACAGTTTGAGTTGTGTCCTCTCTTCAGCTATCTCTGGATGTGGAGCTATAAATGTTCTGCAGTTATCACCTCCACCAATCTTCAAACTGTCTGTTGTTTTCTTATGCGTTGTTTGTCAGTTTTCCATCTGCTATCCTCTTCTCTCTCTCTCTCTCTCTCTCTACCCTTTACCCTAAACCCGACCAGTCAAGGCAGATGGTCGCCCAGAAGATTTTCCTTCTTGGTAAAATAGAATTTTTTACTTTATTGGCAAACTTTGGATGTGTTGGCTTTCTCTGCACAACTTTTTAGGGTCTTCACCTTGCGATGACGGATGTTGTGAATCGTCACTGTGTAAATAAAACTGATTTGAAATTGTCAAGTAAAAAAATGCAGAAAACCACAGGCACGGTGCTGCTACTGCAACAAACAATTACTGTCATTATCTGGCAATTCTCTAAAGTCCCTCATTGTATCAGGAGGAAGACAGAAAGCTAAACCCTGCAAGCTGACAGGATTAGTTCATGTGGGCTGTTGTGTATGAAGGAAGTTTCTGTCATCGGCGGTTTGCAAAACACCATATAGACACGTTAACGAGAAAAAGAACACTAATCATTTTCACCAGATGTGACTGATTGTTTAGTAGGGACAACAACATCCACGCTATAAATCCTGACAGTCACAGTCCGGTACACTTTTGGTGCAGCAAAAAATTTAAAAACACATTACATTTTTTTTATTTCTGTTAAAAAACTAAAATATTCAAAAATGTGTAATTGGTCGTGATTCTTACTGTAAAAGCAACATCTGCATTCTGTTGATCACAAAGAACTTTCAGCTGTTTGTTCTTGAGGATAAAATGAATAAAACCAACAAAGGTCCACATTCAGAATTAACTTGAATTAACCAGTGAAGCCACTTGTACAGCTTAAGCCTTAAAAATAACCAAAGTATTGCTGCCTTTCTCTCTCTTTCCCCTACATTGTTTAGGGTTTAAAATGTAGTAAAATAGCAGAATAATCCCATCATTACTGCCCGAAGCTCTGACTTTACTTCATTTTTAAAATTAGAAGCCGTATTTTCACTATAACGCAGAGCAAGACAGCAATAGAAGAAACTTCTGAAGGCACTCCCTACATTAAATATGTGCAGAGGGCTATAAAAATGTTTGTCTCGCCACATGTAAAGAAAGAAATCAAATAAAATGTGACTTTTAACACCATTAAAATCTGGGAAAATAGTCAACTTTTACATCTGAGAAGCTGGTGAAGCTAAATTTGAGGCATTTTTGTTTAAAAATGACAAAGATTGGCATTCATTTTGTAATAAAGTAGTGATTTTAGCTTCGGAGGGCTGGTTTTTTTTCTTAAGGGGGTAATAAAACTGTCATGTTGATGCCACTGAGGGTCTGATGACACAGTTTTGCCCTCAAAGGTTCATTAAACACGACTGCAGAGGAATGTGAAGGAGACTAATGGACACCTAGAGGATACATTTAGCACCCAATAAACACATCTGATGAATTACCTTCTTGGGCTGGATTTCTGACCCTGTTTCCGAGCGAGTGTCCGTTCCATCGCTTTCACTGCCTGGACTGTCCTTATCTACACAAACACAAAAAACACTCACTTTAGACTCAGCAGAACGCCGAAACACTCGTAGAAATCTATACAATTCGTAATGAGAGCGAGTTGTTTCAGATTTTTTTGTATATCATGGTGGCGTTTTCCCGCCGTCTGATTGGCTGAGACTCACTGTTGCGGCCGCTGCGGAGTTCCTCCTGCGAGGTGTCCAACGACGGCGTCTCCGAGTCGATCTGAATCTCTTTGGTGAAGTTGGAGGGAAACATTCCAGTCTTCCCATTAAGAACTCCCTCCCACCAGCCCTCCTCCACCTGGACGCATACAGACACACAACACAGACACGGTAACACAACCATAGATTCAGCTGTACAAACAACAGAAAACCACAAGAATGGCGTCCACAGATTTTTTAAAAAGCTTCACCGCTGCTATTTATTGATGTTTATTTTGCCAGTATGGAAGCAACCAGCATCAGAAATACGAAGGAAGAACAAACTAAGAGAAACACACTCTAGCTGAGGTTAAAGTAAAGTAATTTTGGCACTAAGGCACAAAATTAGCTGTTTTTCACCTGAAAACACAGCATTTTTAACTTTTAATCTCATACTTTAGATGTTGTCATAATGTTAACTTTGTATCACATAAATCTACTTCATATCTTTCTGTTTGCAATTATTTACCTTCTTTTTTTTTAATCTCATGAAATCTCAAATATGAGAAAGTCAGCATCTTTCATATTTTTTTATTTTTAGCCCAAAAAAATATGAGTGTTTCCATGTCATAATTTGTTATATTTAGCAAAAAAAAAACATAAACAAACTCTTAACTTAAATATAACTAAACAAAACAAATAAAAAAATATACTTCATGATTTAGGTTTATTTCATTTTATTTGATTTTGGTTTTTTTGTTTGTTTTTTCTTTTTACAAAAAATGCACCAATTCTGGTCAAAATCAAGTATTCATGGCAAAATTATTCAATTAAAAATATTTAAATTAGTTGTGTTTATAATTTTTTTTAAAGGATTTTGTTTTGCTCATAACTGAGAATGTTTTAATTGTAGTTTTTATGTCAATAAATAAATACATATGAGAAGGTAAACATATCATTTTTACGTCTTATCAGAAAAATATTAGTTCGATTTTGTGGTGATAATTTTTTATATTATAGTAAAATATGTACATCCTTTAATTTTCATATTTTATCTAACAAGTTTAAAAAAATAAAAAATCTTGATTTTTGAGTTTTTATGTCATAATCTTGACTTTTTTATAATTAAGTGATTCTTATGTTTTCAATAAAAACAAACACAACATTAAAAGCTGTTTTTTCATCTCATATTTTGCCTTTGTAAGCAAAACATCTAAATGAAAGTGAATATATATGATTTATTTACAGGAAACATTGGTCCATGTGCAGCCAAAGTGAGAAGATGCAGTCAGCTAACATCTACCTCTACTATGTGATGCTCAGGTTGAACTTTCATGTCGTCATAAAGCAGCTGCCACATCTCACAGCCGTGTTTGTGTTATTTTGGGATGACTTTTTGCTCACCGGTTTAAAACGGAGGGAAATCTGTCTTACCTCTGCTATGACCTCAATGACGTCGCCTATTTTCAGCTCCAGCTCGTCTTCATGCTGAGGCACGTAGCTGAACGCAGCCTTACATCTCCGTTTGCGGATTTGGTCTCCTGCGACACACACACACATATATCTTGAGCTTACATGTGACACGGTGAGCTCACACACTCCTGCATATAATCCAGTCCTCACAGCGAGCGAGCAGGTGTTCTGTAATCATTTAATAAAACCTTCACGGCTGACGTTTGACATGTTGACCTTTGAGCTTTCCGTCAGAGGACATCTAACCAGACAGCTTCCCAACTGGCCTTGCAGTTGTTTGTCTTACACTCATTAGCCTCCTCATTACTCCTGACTCATCCCACACCAGCTGGAGCACTAAGACATGACCCTGCACTTCCTCTTTACTCCACCAGGTGGCACTGCGCTTCACCTTTCGTTTTTAGGTATGTACAGTATGTGCAGGGGCGAGTTTAATGGACCCTGATGTTGAATGGAGGAGACACGTCTATAAAGTATGTCTGCAAGTGTGTTAAGTTAAAAGCCCTGGTGGTCATTTTGTGCATCTTTGAGATCACTTTGTGTTTCTGTAGCAGTTTTTGCATTTCTGTGATCAGCTTGCACTTCTAAATGGTCATTTTGTTGTAATTGTTCTGTCATTTTGTGGTTTTTCACTCACTGCAGTAACTTTTGTCATCATTTTGCAATCATTTAGTTCCTCTCTGTGGTTGTTTTCTGTCTGGTTTTAGTCCTTTTTCATGTTTTTGCGGTCGTTATAACAACTCCTTGTGGGCGTCTTATGTCTCTTTGTGATCACTTTATATCTCTTTACGGTCGTTCTGCATCACTGTGTTGCAACTCTGTGCTTGTTTTGCATTTCTTGGTGGTTCTTTTGCATTTTTCTGGGTGCTGCTTTGCATCCCTTTGCAGGTGTTAAATGCCTCCTTGCAATCATGTTGTATTTCTCTCTTGCCGTATTGTGACTCTTTGTAGTTGTTTTGCATCCCTGTGTTTGTTTTGCATCTTGTAGCAGTTGTTTTTTGTCTCTTTGTGTTCGTTTCACATCTGTTTGTGGTTTTTAACTCACTGCAGTCATTTTTGTCATCTTTTTGTATGACTTTGTGGTTGTTTTAAGTGCCTTTGCAATCATTTAGTACCTCTCTGTGGTTGTGTTCTGTCTGGTTTTAGTCATTTTTCATGTTTAAGTGGTCGTTTTAACAACTCCTTGTGGGCATTTTATGTCTCTTTGCGATCTTTTGCATGTATTTTCTATCTCTGTGTTTGTTTTACGTCTCTTTCTCCTCACTTTTCATCTCTTTGTAGCTGTTTTGCAGCTCTTTTAGGTCATTTCATGTTACTATGTGGCCACTTTTCATCTCTTTACGGTTGTTTTGCATCGTTGTGTTGCAACTCTGCACTTGTTTTGCATTTCTTGGGGGTTATTTTGCATTTTTCTGCGTGCTGCTTTGCATCCCTTTATCGGTGTTCTATGTCTCCTTGCAGTCGGAGACTGGTGGCCGGAGACGGCCGGAGACTGGGGCCCGGAGACGGCCGAGCGCGGGGCGGGAGACTGGGAGCCGGAGACTGGGGGCCGGAGACTGGTGGCCGGAGACTGGGGGCCGGAGATGGCCGAGCCCGGAGACTGGTGGCCGGAAACTGGGGGGCGGAAACGACCGATCCCAGAGACTGGTGGCCGGAGACTGGGGTACGGAGACTGGGGGCCGGCGACGGCCGAGCCCGGAGTCGGAGACTGGGAGCCGGAGACGGCCGAGCCCGGAGCCGGAGAATACGGGCCGGAGACTGGGGGCCGGGGACAGCCGCGCCCAGGGCCGGACACTGGGGGCCGGAGACGGCCGAGCCCGGGGCCGGAGACTGAGGGGCCGGAGACTGGGGGGCCGGAGACCGCCGAGACTGAGAGCCCGGAGACTGAGGGGCCGGAGACTGGGGGCCGGACACGGCCGAGCCCAGGGACGGAGACTGGGGGCCGGGGACGGCCGAGCCCGGGGCCGGAGACTGTGGGCCGGAGACGGCCGAGACTGAGAACCCGGAGACTGAGGGGCCGGAGNTGGGCCGGAGACGGCCGAGACTGAGAACCCGGAGACTGAGGGGCCGGAGACGGCCGAGCCCAGGGACGGAGACTGGGGGCCGGGGACGGCCGAGCTCGCGACCGGAGAATGGGGGCCGGAGACGGCCGAGCCCGGGGCGAGAGACTGGGAGCCGGAGACTGGGGGCGGGAAACGACCGATCCCGGAGACTGGTGGCCGGAAACGACTTAGCCCGGGGCCGGAGACTGGGAGCCGGAAACTGGGGGCCGTAGACTGGGGACCGGCGACGGCCGAGCCCGTGGCCGGAGACTGTGGGCCGGAGACGGCCGACACTGGGGACGGAGACTTTGGGCCGGGGACGGCCGAGCCCAGGGCCGGAGACTGCCGAGAGACTGGGAGCCGGCGACTGGGGGCCGGAAACGACCGAGACCGGGGCCGGAGACTGGTGGCCGGCGACGGCCGAGCCCGGAGACTGGGGGCCGTAGACTGGGGGCCGGAGACGGAGAATGGGGGCCGGAGGCTGGGGGCCGGAGACGGCCGAGCCCGGGGCCGGAGACTGGCGGCCGGAGACGGCCGAGCCCGGGGCCGGAGACTGGGGGGCCGGAGACCGCCGAGACTGAGGGGCCGGAGACTGAGGGGCCGGAGACTGGGGGCCGGACACGACCGAGCCCAGGGCCGGAGACTGCCGAGAGACTGGGAGCCGTCGACTGGGGGCCGGAAACGACCGAGACCGGGGCCGGAGACTGGTGGCCGGCGACGGCCGAGCCCGGAGACTG